CTGTTTCCCATACTATTTGGTACCATTGGTCCATGCTTACTCCTGACAGGTCTCTCCAGTGTCTGGCTATGATGCTTCTGACTGCCGAAAGTAGGTGGGTTATGAGTTCTTTGTGGTGCATTATTGTCTTGCACAAGCAACGCTGACACCAAACCCTACATATAGAAAGTGAAATAGAAACATCGCCACCCGACCCCACCCATCTTTCCCCCCCCACCTCTTTCCCCCTTTTCTTCCTAATGTCTTAACAAATGAAAATGATTTGTAAAAATGTTACATGGGGGGAAAAACACGAGAGAGAGAGACATTGCACACTTTTGTAAATCAACAAAATCTTTAATAAAAGAAAAAAAGAAAGGTTGCAAAACTGAAACTTTCCTCCCTATTGACTGTGTCCCGAATGCTTGCCTCCTGTACCGACTCAAGCATATTCCGGCTAAACACCAGGAAGAACTTTCTGACGGCAAGAGCAATTTTGACAGTGGAACAGGCCCCCCAGTGGTGGGTTCTCCTTCCTTGGAGGTTTTTAAGCAGGGGATGTATGGCCACCTGTCATGATGCTCTAGTTAAGATTCCTGCACCAGATTGGACTAGACAACGCTCAGGGTCCCTTCCAATTCTATGATTCTATGACTTAAGTTCAGTGTGTCCCCCCCCATTAATGATAATTCAAGCAGATGCTATTTTTTGTTGTGCCGTAACTTTTAAAAATACAATAAGTGTTATTTCCAAAAATAAAAAAGCATTGGTAATTTAAGCAAGCATCTCTTAGCCATCAGTGTCCATTAAAGAAATATTTGTTTCCAAAATCAGAATGTTGACTGACAGTGGAAAACTGGGCGGAGGAGGCGATGGCACTAAGTGATGCTCTCTGCCTACTGTAAAGACCCAATGCAATGAGTCCACCTATTTCACCAGGGTTTGGTGAAGGGCGTTTTCCTTTGCAGTGCCCACATGGTACAGATCAAGAGAGCACCAGTAATGGGATGCTTCTGCAGTTGGGATGCTGTTTGTGCATTTCCTGACAGCTGATAACTGAACTTTCCTTGTTAGTTCTGACTACTGTGGTTGCTAAAATCATGTTTTATGATTATTTATTTTTACGTTGTTGTTACTGATTTACTGTTATTTATATATACGGTGACCTTTCCTATTTATAAACAAAACTCGGTGCATAAGTTTTTACGTAAATAACAATGATATTTGGTATGTAACAAAATATGAACCTGCCTTTTTACAAATTCAATAAAAGGGCAGCACAATAAGCAAATGCAGTATTTGCAGTTCTCTCACTAATGGCACGCAGCCCAACCAATCAGAGAGCAGAACACTGAAGTACTAGCAATCACTCTGTGTGGGGCTGCCTTTGTGTTTCCGGAAGAGACTATTGACCAGAGTGAGGTGTTGGGAGCTTTGACGCACATAACCTGCATCGTTAAAACTGTCTCGCGGGCTTCTGATCTGTTTCTGGAACCCATTGAAAGTGCTGGTTATCTCCTAAAAGCAATAAATGGCTAGGAGTGTTTCGAGATGGGAATTTATTGAGGAACCAGCGCTGCTCATTCCAATAATTTTGTATCGCTCTTTTGCGGCTCCAACATGACACTGTTGCATCAAAAAGCCAGCCATTACTACTTCTTCTTTTTTTTACACTTAATCCAGATTGCCACTTACTGTAGAAAATCTTGTAAGTTAAAATAACTCATTATACATCTTCAGTCACAGGTGTGTGTGTGAACAGTTTGTTTTGTGTGTGGTGGTGCCGTTTTTGTGGGTGTCTTTGTCACCACACCCCTGTTTCCATGTGCTCCTCAGATGGGCACAACCTAACCATTTTGTTTCCAGTAGCTTCTGATACCAAACTAAAGACACTTTGTTCCAGTGGCTGCCACATGCTGAAGACCTGACCAGATCAGGGAAATATTCTCTCAAGATCCTAACACAGGAAATGAGGGAGAATTCCTGGGAGGCCGAAATCATAGTACATACATTGAGTTTTTAAAAACAAACAAACACTGAGGTGGTTTGTTTTTCCCCCCAGACGACCTCTCCACCTCTCTTCCACCTTGCAGAACACCTCAGTATGAAAAAATAAATAAAAAACCAAATGGAAGTAGATATTGACCCCCCCCCTACACACACAAACCCCAAAGCACAAATCTCTAATTTCACTCACTGTGAGACTGGCTGCATAAAGTTGGTAACATTTGTTCAAGTGCATTTCCTGAGATTGGTGGTGTTTTTTTTAAATACCCGTGTGCATGCCCAGAATGGCAACAGGTAATGGAGGGTGTGGGAAAAGTGCTTGCGGGGAGGATTAAACAATTTAGCCCGTCACGCTCCGCCCACCAACATAGATGTCAAGCGGGGGAAGAACAAATGAATATTGTGACTCAGAAAAGTGGGAAGTCATGGAAGCGAACTTGTGAAACATGCACAGTGGAATTTTTTCGCAATGTAAAGTCCCTGTCTGGAAGCATCTAGGCCATATCGCTTCCTCCCTACTTCCTACGTCAAGATCTGTAAAAGAGTATCTGCTGTGTGACCTGGCAACAGAGATGTTCCGTATTTTTCGCTCCATAAGACACACTTTTTTCCCTCCTAAAAAGTAAGGGGAAATGTGTGTGCGTCTTATGGAGCAAATGCAGGGGGGAGGCAGGCAGGAAAAGCCCCCAAGAGCTGCACACAAGCTCCGCGCGGCTCTTGCGGGCTTTTCCCCAGGAGGGAGAAGGGACTGACGCCGCCAGTCAGTCCCTTCTCCCTCCTCGTAGAAAAGCCTGCAGGAGTCGCACGCTCCTTAAAGGGTGTGCGGCTCCTGTGGGCTTTTGCGGGAGGTGGGGGAATTGCATCCCGCTCGCTGTCTTGGCTACTTTGCTCTTTGGGGCTGGCGGGGGAAACCTGGGCTTCCCCCGGCAGCCCCAAGAAGCTCTGGGAGAAGCAGACAGGCTGTGCACAGCCTGTCTGCTGCTCTTTGGGACTGGGGGGGGGGAATAATTTTTTTTATATATATATAAGATATTTATTAAGGTTTTTTGAAATATTACAGTAAAAATGAAAAAGAAAAGAGAAAAATACAAAATAAAAACAGTTAAAAACACACATATTTTCTATTACTTATTTTCCTTTAGCTTGTTTCCCGGACCGCCTCGTACCTCCCTTTTTTTGTATTCCACTTCAATTTATTGGTTCAGCAAATCCTTACCATTAGATTTTAACCCATTTATAACCCTTTTTTCATATTCTCTTAGAGCATTACAGCTAGAAACCGCTTAATTACTATCCAACATCATTCTGTCATTCATTAATTTTACAATATTTCTGTAAATAGTCTTTAAATTTCTTCCAATCTTCTTCCACCGACTCTTCTCCCTGGTCTCGGATTTTGCCAGTCATTTCTGCCAATTCCATATAGTCCATCACCTTCAAATAAATAATAATAATAATAATAAAATAATAATTTTTTTTTCTTGATTTCCCCCTCTAAAAACTAGGTGCGCCTTATGGTCAGGTGCGCCTTATGGAGCGAAAAATACGGCACATGGCTAGTGCACACACCATATGTACACACCATACATTTAAAGCATATCCCTTCCCCCAAAGAATCCTAAAAACTGTAGTTTACCCAGGCAGAGCTACAATTCCCAGCACCCTTGACAAACTGCAGTTACCAGGATTCATTTTGCGGGGGTGGGTGCTTTAAATGTATTATGTGTATGCAGCCTACAGCCTTCTCTCAGTGCATGTACCCAGATTGTGGAACTCCCCAAAGATGCCTGATGAACTGCCCCACGCCTTAATTTTTATTTTTCTGTTTGAAACATTGAGATGCAACTCAGCTTGCCTTGAAAGCTGATGTGTCAGCATGGGAAAGAGTACGAGAGAGGAATCCCCAGGTTTCGTAGACTGTCCTTCCTGAGCTAAGCTGTGCTTGCCTTCCCTCAACACTTAACGGTTGCTGACCTAAATTTCCTACTTTTCCATGCTTTCAGGAAAGGAAACATCTGTTTTGGACCTCTCTCCATCTGAGAGGCAAGAGCAAGTTAGAACCAGGATTTTTCCTCTCAGGGATGCATTATCTGCAATAAATATTATTTATTTTCTAAAATGGAGAGGGATTATATCTAGGGTAAGGGGTGCTCCTCTAGCAGGGATTCAGTGTCCACTTCAGCTTCTGTCAGTTTTTAACCCCCAAAACAAATATTTTGGCCGCTTCCTGGACATCTTTTTATTCTGGCCCATATGAGGCCTTGGGGGCTGTTTTTAGGTTATTGACTTTTTTCTTCTCTCTCAGTTCCCCATTTCAATTCTATTTTAGTAAGCTTTGCTGTTTTTGACAACGCCACAAGTGTCTCTTGCGAAAGGGTGGAGTATAAACGATGCAAACAACTTACATAAATAAATAACAAAATTCCCCTCCAAAGACAGAAGATGAAACCATTATCAGCTGAGCCAGAAAACATTCAGTGACAAATGCCAACTCACTGCCGTCCTAAGGTGGCCTGGCCCCTTCTAAGACCATATAACTGAGGCCCCATCTGTGCAATATATTTAAAGCAGTACCACCCAAAGAATCCTGGGAACTGTAGTTTCCTAGGCATATGGAGAGTTGCTAAGAGATGCCCATTCCCCTCAGAGAGCTACAATTCCCAGAATTCCCTGGGAAGAGGGATTGGCTGTTAAACCTCTCAGGGAATTTTAGCTCTCGTAAGGGGAAGATGCAGGGTCTCTAACAACTCTCGCCACCCTTAGAAAAACTACACTTCCCAGAATTCTTTGGGGGAAGCCACAACTGTTTAAAATGTTACGATACTGCTTTAAATTTATAGTGCAGATGGAGCCTAAGACAAGAATATACAGCTCAGTGTTTCATTTTACTTACTTTATCCCACTTTTCAGATAAATATTGTCTTCCAAAGTGGCTCACAGCAAAAAAGAGAGAGAGAGAGAGGACCTGCCATCGAGCTGATGGACTAAAAAAACCAAAACGCACAACGAAAGGGAGCTGGAGGAGGAAAGTGCTGGGAGGAAAATCAGTTTTTAATGCCAAAACAGAATGGTGAGCTATAAGCAGTGCAAGCATTTATAGCTTGCTAGGACCCGGCAGACCTGCCCTTGCTGCTGTTCTTGCTTGAATAACGGCTGGCAGATTTTGTTCTTTTGGCTGATGCTTGAAGCCAGAGTGTCCTTTCCCACAGCACTCCCAGGGTAATAACAGGGAACTGGAGCTGGGCGTTCTTTCTGGCAGAAGCAAGCTCTGATGGAAGCCAGGTTGGTGTCTCTCTTGCCTTGATATTATTGCCGGGCGTCTGGATGAGTGGTGTGATGTCCCCTGTCCCAACAGCAGAAACCAGAGTTCGCTTCTTTTCTGCTCCTCAGTTTCAAGGCAGTTTCTTCAGCCTGCTGAGAGTAGTTAAGAGACGCCTGTTTCCTTCAAAGAACTACACTTCCCAGAGCTCCCCAGTGGGGCCAGTTGGGGATTATAGGAATTTTAGGCTGCTTCCAGACGGTTGCTTTTTTTCCATGTAGGATTCAATCACATACAGTGGTACCTCGGGTTACATACGTTTCAGGTTACATACGCTTCAGGTTACAGACTCCGCTAACCCAGAAATAGTGCTTCAGGTTATGAACTTTGCTTCAGGATGAGAACAGAAATTGTGCTCCGGCAGCGCAGCAGCAGCAGGAGGCCCCATTAGCTAAAGTGGTGCTTCAGGTTAAGAACAGTTTCAGGTTAAGAACAGACCTCCAGAACGAATTAAGTACTTAACCCGAGGTACCACTGTACCAGCAAACTCAGGCTGTGCAACGAAAGGGGGGTTTTTTTGTGCTCTTGTGCAACAAACCTGCTTCCAGGGCAAACGGGCCTTTTTGCAGCAAGGAAAGTGACAGGGAAATCGCACTCGAAGTTGTGAGGTAGCAATTGCTCGGCTCTCCCTGAAAGCAAATCAGAATGAATGCTCAATAAACAGGTTGTCTGGAGGTAGCCATCGTTCAAAACGCCTAGAGGGGAACAGGTATAGGGAGAACGCCTTAAGAGTGTTGGGCTAACAGAAATAGAGGCTGGAGTTCAAATCCTCACTTAGTGTTTCTCCAAAACAGACTCTGCTCCAGGAATGCAGGATGGAATAATAGAATCCTGGAACTGTAGAGTTGGAAGGGATCCTGAGGATCATCTAGACCAACCCCCTGCAATGCAGGAATATGAAGTTGTCCCATATGGGGATTGAACCTGCAAACTTAGCATTATCAGCACCATGCTCTAACCAGCTGAGGAAAGCTTCCCTGTGGCTGGTACTGCTTTCCTGCTTATATTACACTATGTGCATGCTACTAACATTAATAAAATCATAATGCCCCATGGGAAATAATTCATTAATCCCACAATACACAGCAATAAGCCTGAGTTTGACGTTCAGTGTATGCTCACTGAGCAGGGAGATGAAGTCCATCCTGGCTCTCTGGCACAGGTCACTTGCAGGATACACATGCTTTCAAACACCTGTTTTTCAAAGCCACACCTTCCACTTTTGTGGTATACACTTTAACAATCTAAGGTGTACTCTTAAGGCTGCCAACTTTTTTTATGGTCCCCCTCCTCTTCCTCCTTCTTTGCCTTTGACAGAAGCTTGGTTTGCTTACCTCTGCTTATCTCTGTACAGTATCTAGAAAGTACTACTGGCGGATTTATGCAGGTCATGTTGCTGTTAAAGAGATAAGTGAAAGCCAGACGGTTGCTGACAACAGCTAACAACTCTATTCACATTACGGATGTGAAAAATACAAAAAAAAGCACCTTTAAATATGTTCAGTACAGGAGAAAGACTGCCGTTCCTGGACCGGGACAGGGCGTAGCTTATTGCAATGCACCTAATGTAGGGCTACCCTCAAGGATAGTTCAGAAGCTGCAGTTGGTTCAGAAGTACAGTCATACCTCTGGTTGAAGTAGCTTCAAGATGAATATTTTCGAGTTGTGCTCCGCGGCAACCCGGAAGTAACGGAGCGTGTTACTTCCGGGTTTCGCCGCTCGCGCATGTGCAGACGGTCAAAATGACGTCACGTGCATGCGCGAAAGCGGCGAATTGCGACCCACGCAAGCGCAGATGCGGGTTGCGTTCGCTTCAGGATGCGAACGGGGCTCCAGAACATATCCCATTGGCATCCAGAGGTACCACTGTACCCTCTCCAGGGTACAAGCCTGGGCAGTGTGTGTGGAGATCCTGGGCTGCAAGACCCTCCTCCTGGCCTTGCTGATGTGGTCCAAAGGAAAGCAGAGTGAGGCATCTGACACCAGCTGGACTGCAGGAGTTGCCAAAAGGAGGCGTATAGGGTGCTGTCTCTTGGGGAATCCGCTCCTGATTCGTGTAGGATTTTCTCCCTGGCCCTTTCGTCTCCCGAAGATAACCCTGCAAGGCAAGAGAGGTTTAGGACTGGTTTTCTTTCTCCTAAATGGGCTGTCTTTCCAGTTTGATGAGCCCCTTCTGCCCTGCACTTACCTCCGCAGCATGTGCAAGAAACTGCCTTTGCATAAGGCAGCTGCTCTGTCTGCTCCGCACATCATCCGCCACTGCTGCCAGGAAGAGGCATGAGTTGCAGACTATCCAGCTGCCCCAGAGGACGGGGTTGCTCCAAGGACAAGATCATGTGCATTTGGTGACCGTCACCACTGCATTATAATTTTTCTTTCAGAAAGTTTAATCAGTGTTCGTTTTCATTTACAGCCAGTCAGCTTAGAAGCCGGTGGAATATAACTGATGTTGCCGACTGCTTGGTTTTGCGTGAGTGTGTGTATAAAACTTATTTGCCCTGTTGTTGTTTCTTAAGAGGAGCGTGACCTTCAGAAATCAGCAGCCGGAGTGTTTCAGGATATTGTGCGTAAAATATCTGTGTTTGTGCTCCATTAAAGTGCACAGCCTAAACAGAAAAGACAGGTGCAAAGGAACAGAAAGGCTGAATAACTGCATCAAACCAGAAGGAAGTTTCCCTCACATTTTAAAAGTGTGTGTGTGTGTGTGTGTGTGTGTGTGTGTGTGTGTGTGTTTAGCTTTTCAGCAAGGGATATGCCAGTGTAAATAACACATGAATTCAAAAACTTATGTCATGTAGTATGGCTTAATTTCTAAATAAGAGGTATGGAGTAAATATTTTCTGAAAATAATACAGGCCTCCCTTTTCCGTGAAAGCTCTTCTCCTGTCTGTGGAAATACAAGGATGCACTGTATGTATGTAGTGAAGAGACAATGGGACTCAGCATATATAAAATGGTGTATTTTCCTAAATGAGTGCTGTACAAGTCCTATTGTGATTAAAACAGCATGGTTAAAAACTGCAGCCCTACCAAAGTCGACATGTTCCAGTCAACACAAGCAGGAGCTCTGCAACGAGACTCCAGGCCCTGTTTTGATTTTGGAAAGCAGCCTTCCACCAGTAACTTTCTAACTGAAAATTATGCGGCTTCAGCACTCCCTAGACTACTGTATGGCCATGGTAGGAAGGCAGACTGCCATTCCAAGACTGATAATAAATAACTTGGAAAACAAAAAGCAACAATTCCTAGCAGTGCTTGATTTAAAACATAGAACGCAACTGTTTTATAATACAATCACGGGACATCCCGAAAATAGAAAACATAAGAACATGAATAATTCCCAAAATATAAACAAGCCTCTTACATATGTAATAGTAATTTATTATTTGTACCCTGCCCGTCTGGTTGGGTTTCCCCAGCCACTCTGGGCGGCTTCCAACAATGATTAAAAATACATTAAAATGTCACACATTAAAAACTTCCCAGAATATATGTACCTTAGGTATGTATACAAGCTCAATGAGAAGTATGAGTTTGCTTCTGCTGGATAATCTCAATTATACTCAGCCTAATTTGAGACAAACAAACTCTCCTCATCAACAAAAAGAAGCCTTTCTCTTTTCTTGTTTTCCATTTTTGTCAGAGTTGAAAATCCCTGTTCTCAACAATATGTCATGGAAAACCGTAGAAGAATCGCCAATGCCCTTGAAGAGAGGCATGGATACTGGTTCTGGTTGTATATCCTAAAAAAATATTTCAATCCTATCCTATACTACGCTAAAATGTTCAAATGTTTCTTTGATTGTCCTTAACAACCACGGAGCATATTTCACCAGAACAGTCTGTGAAAACCCAATTGAAATGAACAGAAGTTACTCTGTCATTCATGTTCCTGCTTAATTTCTGTTCATTTTAATAGGGCTGGCGGAGAATTCCCCAGTAGATAGAATGTGTTCCACCACATTAATTAGTGTAAACCAGGAACACCATTTCCATTTTCCACCTCAGGCACTAAAACTTCAGTTTCAGATTTGTAAAGTACGCTGCTGCATTCCTTAAATGCTTATTGCTACTAACAATACCGTTCTCCGTATCTTCAAAGCCACGATTAAATCATTAACAATTACTCTTCGAGGCCACAGTTAAATCATTAACTAATTAATTAATCAGCTCTCCGGGATCAGCCTGGTACTAACTAGTGATAATGATCCGGCAAGGCAGAGAAATGTACAAAGGTGTTATTGAAAATTCTAGCAGTGCGTCTGTTTGTATTTCAGTCGTTGGGAAGTCTGTCTTATTTCAAACCTGTTTATCTGAGGGTTCCTTGAATCATAAAATGTTAGACTGGTACCTGATTGGGGCTTTTTCCTTTCCAAATACAGAGTTCTGGTTTTCAGCTGCAAATCCTGCAGACATTCTGCAAGATCTTTGGAAACTGAGGGTTGTGCCTGAGCTTCCAAAACTTGGAGACACAATCATAGCTAGAGGAAGCAATAATAATATGGGATATAGATAGAGGTGGAGAAAATTTAAGATAGCCAGATGAGAAGGAAGATGGGGATACTGCACTATTAAACAGTTGTGTAGGTGGCACTCAGGGATGTTGGATGCTTGCCATGCAGACTACATCTGCTGAAATCCCCTCTGCTTCACAACTATGGAATGTGTTATGTACTGAAGTTCCCACCCTGGGCCAGCAGGGGGATACTGTAGATAGTTTTCACTCAGGTCCACATATGCAAATAAGGAATTGAAAGTGACGTTCAGTGATTGGATAGTTACAGAAAGTTGTTACTGTTGCGTTGTAGTGGAGCTCTATATTAAGCAGGCTGGCTGAACCCTTTAGTTCAGTTCTGTCCTGGCCTGTGAATAAGCAAGAGCTGTTCGAAGAATCACTATGTTGTCTGATATGTTCACCCACAACTTAACAGAATGTGAAGGAGGAGTCCTTTACAAATGAGTGGTGCTGTCTCCCTGCAACTGGAAAAGAAGAAATATGACTCTACAGTCATGAGCAAAAAAGAACCTGCAGTTCCCTCTTGCTCTAAGACAGTCTGAAATCTGAATGCCGTTGCATGCCTTGTATTTCTTAGGTATTTATTACACTGTCGTCCCACCTTTCCTGCAAGGAACTTGAAGGTGGTGCACATGGTTCACCTCCTCCCCTTCTCACAACAACCCTGAGAGGTAGGTTGTGCTGAGAGGCAGTAATTGGCCCAAGGTCACCCAGTGAGCTTCATGGCCAAGAGCAAGGATTTGAACCCTGGTCTCCCAAGTCCTAGTCCGACACTCAAACCTCTGACTGCATTGGTTCGCGTGTATTTTTTTCATGTATTTTAATGTACTGAGATGTTTACATGTCAACAGTGCTGTACAAAAACAATCTATTAGTGCCGATTAGCTTTCATATCTATGTAGAAGGCTGAATACTTCAGAATACTAGACGCTGAGAAGGGATCCACTTGGAATCTGCTTGGAAATTTTTCAGAAACATTTGGCTGGCTACTGTCCTAAACAGAACATGGGAGTTTGTGGCTCTTGGGCTGATTCAGCAACACAGTTTTTACATTCTGACTCATCAAACTGAACAAAAAGTATGTTTTTGCTGTAACATGACATTGTTTGTTTTTGCCCGGATGATTGTTTGAAGAGAGGATATGTTCACCCTTTCCAACTTGGATCAGATGGATTAGGAAAACAGGTTTTACATCCCAGAAAATGAGCAGTGAAAACAAACAAGACGCTGCTGTAAGATCAGGTAGCTGCTTTTTGTTTCTGCCCAAAGAATTGCAGAAACGTAAAACTTTTGCTCTGTGTCATTCCCTATGAGCCAGAAAGCAGATGTACAGCAGCACATATGTGAAATATTTTCAATGTACTACAGCTCATTTCTGCATTCTGTATATTTAACAGAGCTTTTTCTTCTGGTACCACATCAGGAAAGTTAGTATTCCAACAGACAAACAGGTGTATTTGGTTTCATGCAACTTAATTGGTCAATTAAATCATTAAGCTGATTTATAGGCTCATTTGAATTGCGTTTCAGTTCCACTTTCAACACCAAAACTGCCTTGGTTGCCCTGATGGCCTGGGCTTAGAGAGGAACAAGGGGAAGGCAACCCTATTTATTCTCATGGCTTTCTTGGCAGTTTTTCATGCCATCACCAATGATATTCTCCTGAGCTGTTTATGTGAACTTGGAAACGGGCACAGCGATATGATGGTTACCCTGCCGTCTGCATAGCTGGGACATAGAGGATAGTTTGGAGGTTTAATTGTTTAAATCCCTCATACTTGCACACCCTCCAACATTTCTCTGATAAAAATAGGGATGTCCTATTCCATTATTATTATTATTATCCCTCCTATCTGACTGGGTTGCCACAGCCATTCTGGGTGGCTTCCAACATATATAAAAACATCATTAAACATTAAAGAACTTCATTATACAGGGCTGCCTTCAGGTGTCTTCTAAAGGTTGTATAGTTACTTATCTCCTTAGCTCAGGGCTATAAGCAAAATAAGTAAAATACTTCTTTTTAAAATGGCCTTTAATATATGTTGCTTATATCAGTTTCATGCCAGATGGTTAACCACTCCTCTTCCTCCAAATGGGTGTGGATATTTTTCTTGTTTTTATATTACTGTATGGTCTGTGAATTATCTCAAGATTAGGAAGGGACAGACTGGAAGGAAAGAATATCATATTTTATTTATTTAAAAGCATTTATAAGTGGGCTTAATATGTTAACAAAAAAACTACTCCTAGAGGTAGAAAGCATAAAAACGAAACAATAATGTTCAAACCAAAATACAACCTGAAACCAGTAAAACAACAGTATGTAAGAGCAAATAAAAATGGAAGAGATTCAAGCACAAAAGAACTAGGTCCAATCCTATGGGTCAGGGAAAGGTAAAGTCTTTACAAGCTGTGCGCAGAAACTGATGTTATTCCATAGCATAGGGGGAACAGCAGAATATGCCCATTTTTTGGTGATTGCCTTATGATACTCTCATTAGAGCGTAGTGCCATTAGTATAATTTCCCCAGATGATGTGTTAACATGTTCTGAAATACATTCAGAATATGAATCATGTTAGATACCTAGCAACATTCCAGTTACAGCAGTACAGGACCTGCTTACTCTGTCTAGTCTGCCGTCCCATTATCTGATTGGAATTTGCTGACAGCTGATACTGCAATGGCAACAGAATTCCACTTCCAACCTAACATACATCATATACTAGACTATTATCTTCCAACAGAGCTTGCAGGCACAGTTATATTTTAAGGGCACAGCCAGCCATAAAGTTCTCTTGCGCCTCACTGAAAGGAGTGGCATGTGTGCAAGGAAACTACTGTGCTCTTCCCCAACTCTGTCAGTGGAGAAATCTATGAGACGCAACAAAATGCGGGTGGAACTTTGGTCCTATTCACACTATACATTTAAAGCACATGGCTTCCCCAGAGAATTCTGGGAACTGTAGTTTGTTAAAGGCGCTAAGCATTATAGCTCTGTGAGGGGTAAACTATAGTTGCTACGATTCTGGGTGTGAGGGAGAGACCATGTGTTTTAAATGTGCTTTGCATCTATGGCGTGGCTGTGACCTTTCACACATGCTTGATTTTCTGAGAAAGCTGTAAAACAACAAACAGAGAGGTTTATGAGTATTGATGTAGATTTATGGTGAACACGGTGGCTTATAGAATCATGTATAACTTTACAAGCTGGTCTCTGGCCAAGCCAGAGCACGTCTGTGGCATGTAACCAGGCCCAGAACATGGGTACCAAACAAGTGTCACATTTAGTGCCACATGCACTTTTTTCTAATTCAGTAATTTTGGAACTTTCTCAAAGAGGGGAATTACACGCACTAAAATAAATATTGGAAGAGGAAGTGCGAGTCATTGGTGCTCCTATTCCCCAGTACTGTATATCTAATATATGTACATTTTGGGGAATGGGAGCACCGGTGACTCACACTTCCTCTTCCAGTTTACTGTACAATATTTCCTTAGATAACTAGCAGAAATGTGCATGTTTCAGATAAGTGTGGAATTTGAAAATCTCACTGCGGGGAAAGGTGTGTCGTTCCCTTCAGCAATATACCGCCCCAAAGTAAGTAAGAAATTTCCACAACCTAATGTGGAAAATGTTGCACAATGCAATTCTGGCCCTCCTGAAGATCTGGGCGGATAGTTCTTCTAATGTGTGGGTATCGCCGACTTGCAGTGGCTCTGTAAGGATCTTTCCTAGCAGCCTTATCCGGAAGTCCCTGGGACCCCACCCCCTGCATACAACACATGCTATAGCCCTGCCCCAAAGTGCACTTACTAGGGAGTAAGTCTTTGGAAGCACACAGACTTCCTTCTAAGTAAACTTACTTAGGGTCAAACCGCATTCCTCAGGATCAGGAGAAAATAAAAGGGCCTGACTGAACATGCAATATTGCATCTGCAGATACTCCCAATTGCAGAAATTGGACATGTCTTTGCTTAGAGTAGCCATTGACACTTAGCCAAATGAATATTTGCTGTTCTTCTTCTGTTAAAGAGTAAACGTCATGCCATTTCCTCTTTCATCCCACATTCTGAATAATCTAAATAGGATCCGTTTGTTTGTGTATTTGTTACTTCCTAAACAAACAATGCAAAATTAATAGACAGTCTTTTCTATATACATAAAAGAAATAAGTATTTTGTTCCCTATGACAAGGAGTGCTAGGATGGGAAGCATCCATGTAATCCACCTTGTCTTAGACACACACCAGTGATAAATCAGAGGAGCACTTTGCTTCATTTAGTTCTTAAGGGGGAGAGAGAGAGAGAGAGAGAGAGAGAGAGGGGTTGCATTGGAAGTAAGCAGGGACACCGCAGGGGCTTGAACCCCGTCCTGGAAACCAGGAGCGCCGACCACCAGTGTCTTTTGCTCTTTTTTTTTTGGCAATGCAACAAGGTGAAAAGCAAAACCTGAGAGAACACTCTGAATACAGAATGTTCTCTCAGGAAAAAGAAAACCCTTAAGAGCTATGAAGTTGCAGACAGAACACAATTGAGGTTTTATCCCTTGCCAAGCAAGGGATATTCACCTATATGTGTTTGTCACAGAGTGCCATTTTCACTGCCATTAATTTGCAGAGCAGAACAGAGAGACTGGTTCCAGTCTTAAAACTCTGCCTTTATGCTCACCTTTTTGTACGTCCCTCTGAAGTGTGAATTCATGGGCCTGGAAGTTCCTTCTGCTGGCCTGTGAAAAGCAATCTGGACTCATTAGTTTGTCCCCGGCTCTTTCCCACCAATTCCAAAGAAATGTTTTTTGAACACCACTGTTCTTACTAACCTGACTTCTGCAGGAAGAGCTGGCTTCACCTGAGTGAGTGTGGTGGGCTCTTCGACAGAACTGTGAAGAGATCAAGCGAGGGGAAATGGAGAGGCCAGCACAAAAGGATTCTACTAAAGAATATCACTGAATTGTAGAGTGTGAAGTTCACTTGCCGTTAAGTTTCCTGAAGGCTTGCAAAATTCTATTTCTTGTGTCACTGAGATGCACCTGGAAGAGACTAGGATCTTCAGCAGCCCTCCCCTCCAGACACAGGAGCTAAAGCAGCAGGTTACCTAAAGATGCAGGTGTCTCTCAACCCTACACTGCACATGTTCACTTGATGTATCAAGAGCTCTGATATTGCCCTTTGTCAATGGAGCAGATCTGCTTCAGGCACAGGTAGCTCTGTGAGGTCTGTAAAAAAAAGAGCTGGAACAAAACAAGGATGGCTGTCCCACCCAAAGATGTACCTTATTGTGTGGTGGTGGCGGCACAGGAAAAGGCCTCCCCTGCAGTGGTGTCCCGACAAGAGAAGTCCCTCCAGGTCGAAACACGGAGAGCGACTGCATTAGGCTTTTGAGTTTGCAGCTCTTCTGAGAAAGGGATTGAATAACCAACATTGCTTAATACAAGCTCTTTGGAATATTTAGTTTGCATATTTGACATATTATTCCATTTAGAGCCTACCTTTTCTCCAACAGGCTCAGGGTGCTTGAATGGTCCCCCTCACTGCGACCTGAAAGAATCTTTGTACAAAGAGTTGCAGGCAGAACCCAACAGAGATTTTCTCCTCAGCCAAGCACAAGATACTCACCTAGTTGACCTTCAGCCAGAAGACACACAACTGTATTGCTACTATAATTACGGTAGAGCATTTAGAGATTACTTGTTAGTTATTAGTCCCTATCGCCACCCCTGATAATTCAAAAGTTTTTTTAATAGAAGCTACCATTGCAGTCGAAGGTAACCAAGTGAGAGGTTACAGGCAAATGAAGCAGTTTGCTACACCAGGTTTTTAAATATATTACCTTAGGAACAGAAGTACTGGCGAGGATCCAAATTTTAGTATTTGTTGGAAACCCAGCAACTATCAACCCTATCATGCAAATTTTCACCAAAAAGCCAGTAATACAATTTGGGTCAAATTAAATATCTAATAAAGTCTCAGCATTTATGGATCATGTTTCCTGCACTAAACATACATACCTGTACCCCAGGCAAAGAAAATTGGGAGCTACATGCCTCCTTTATCTACAGGATTTAAGGGTACAGACCTCTATTCCAAAATGTTTCACAAATGTGGGTTGTTATTATTTTGTGTGGCCCTGCTCTGGTCATTAGTGGAACAATCAGCCACCCCCTTAGGTATGAGTAGAAATGGCCAGAGAGTCAGGATTCATAAGGTTTCAAACATTTTCTCAGTCATTTCAGCCTTACCATTAGCAGACAACATTTTCTGCCCTTTATGCACAGGAAAAAATGGTCAAGGCTCATCCTCCCTAACTATGAATTTGTATGTTCTTAAACGTTTGCTGGACTTTTTTTGCTTAGAAATGGCTGGCAAAATGGTGACAACCTCTACTCACTCCAATGCCTCTACCAGGCCGCCTCTACCATTGCCATCAGTAGATTCACCCTCAAAATGCCTTATTTGCTTTTTCACACTGAAATCAGCAAGGCAACTGTTACAAAGGAAGCAGTTTGATGCATCAGCTTTTAAAATGGGTATGCTAAATGTATTACTTTAGGAACAGAATTACTGGCGAGGATCCAAAATGCTGGCATGTTTGGAACCTTCTGGATTTATACACATCTGAAGGAACAAAAACTCAACAATATTTTGGTGACCCTCTTCTGCAGTTGCCCAGTAACTACAATTAGGTATAATACTCTCACCCTTGGTTGGTTGCTGTTTGCTGCTGCTCCTTGTGGCTTTCTCAGTTATTTCCCCCTTTTTTGCTTACCCCAGAACCAGTTATTGATCCTAGTGGCTTCCAAACCTTTTCTGGTTCAATAGTTGTTTCTCTTTTCATGTCTTCAATCTTTTCTAACTTCACCAATCTGAAGTGGCTCCCGGAATGCTTGTCAGTTGCCTTGATTCCCATCAGGGAAAAGGGTGGGGTATTATTAAAATATAACAACAACAACATAACAACAACAACAACGCCACTTCCTAGCTTCATATGCCAAATGCCACCACTTTTAAGCCTGCTGCTCAAGAGGGTTTATTATTCTACTCCTTGGAAGCAACATTATAAATAAAATGAAGTTCTGCCCATTAGCAAAGGAGCTTATCTATAGTCCCAATGAAGCTATCACAAAATGGCTGCAAACCATTTTTGTCAACAACGCAACCTGCGCTAACATGAAATTAAATGGAACTATGTTGTCTTCTCCCCCTCTGCTTTGCTCTTTATCACATGCACAGCTTTCTTTCCCCCTGGATTCCCCTACCCTTCTCACTTCTAAGTCTTACCTGTGTTAAAATCTTCCCAATCTTGGTTTTTCTAACTTCTGGAGCGAGGTTCTGGAGCGAGTGGTCGCAGACTAGATCCACGTGCTTTTGGAAGAAGCTGATTTTCTGGATCCATTTCAATAGGGGGGTTGGCCTGGTTTTGGCACAGAAACTGGTTTTGGCGTTCGTCGCCCTGTACCTCTGTCAAGAGAAAGACAAGGAAAACATGTCCCTGTTAATTCTTCTCGACCTCTCAGCGGCTTTCAATACCATTGACCATGGTATCCTTCTGGAGTGACTCTCCGAACTAGGAGCAGGTGGCACCGCTTTGCAGTGGTTCTAGTCCTACTTGGATGGTCGCTCCCAGAGGGTGTTACTTTTCAGCCCCATGGAACCTCCAATGTGGGGTTATGCAGGGCTTAATTCCTTCCCCCATGTTGTTTAACCCTGGGAGGTCGCCTGCTCCGGATGGGGTTACACTGCCCCTGAAGGAGCAGGTTCGTAGCTTGGATAAACTCCGGGATCCTTTGCTATCTCTTGAGACTCAGGTCGCCTCAGTGGCCCAGAGTGCCTTCCATCAGCTTCAGCTGGTGGCCCAGCTACACCCCTATCTGGACAGGGATAGCCTAACTACTATTGTCTATGCTCTGATAACCTCAAGGTTAGATTACTGCAATGCGTTATACGTAGGGCTGCCTTTGAAGGTGGTTCGGAAACTTCAACTGGTGCAGAATTCAGCAGCCAGGTTGCTCATTGGAGCAAGACGGTTTGAGCATATTACACCAATCCTGGCCCAACTGCACTGGTTACCAATTAGTTTCCGGGCCCAATTCAAGGTGCTGGTTTTGACCTATAAAGCCTTAAATGGCTCAGGACTGCAATACCTCAAGGACCGCCTCTTTCCATATGAACCTACCCGGATCCTGAGATCATCTTCCGAGGCCCTCCTTCGTGTGCCTCCTCTTTGAGAGGTCTAGAGGGTGGCAACACAAAAAGGGGCCTTCTCTGCAGTGGCTCCCCGCCTGTGGAATGCTCTCCCCAGAGAAGTTTGCCAGGCAAAAATGATCCTTTTTAACCAGGCCTTTGCTTGACATGATCTACATCTTATAGCCTTTTAAAAATGCTGGCTCTTATTTTGGGGTGGGGGTGGGGTTTATTGGGTCGTTATTGTTTTCATTTTGTGTATTTGATATTTTATGTGAACCGCCCTGAGACCTTCGGGTATAGGGCGGTATATAAATTAAATAAATAATGATAACAGCAACAACTGTGGCAACGGAAACCCCAGCCTTCTTTTTATGAAATGGCTTCTCCAGTTGCCTTTTTAAAAGAAAAGCCTTCTATTTTCTGTATTTATTCTTCACTCTGCTTGAAGCAGACTTCATATCCGCCTACCCTTTCCTCTGCTCCTTTTCACATCCAAAGACTTGATGGCTGAAAGGCAAATAAACTTGATTTCGCCCTTCAGGTTCTTTCATTTGTCTTAGTTTCCCCTTGTATCTCTTTTTAAAGTTGTAAATAATGTGCTGTACAATTCCTTTGTTTACTTTTTACCCCCCTCTGCCCATTAGCTCCTCCAGCTCTGGCCAGTGAGAGGGCGAAAACCAGTAATATAGCCAGGGACAGTCTCACTCACTAGAATCTGGCTCGCTCCTTCCACTACCTGTTGGTCATAAGGACACATAAAAAAGTCCCTCAGCCCATTAATACAGTGGATGCAAATGTGTTTGTTTTCAACATGGGATCATTGCGCCTGGGTGAAAAATTAGTGCCCACCCCAATTCCTAATAACAAGGTTGCTGGGGTGCAGAGGTGCCAACTTAAATAAAATATGGGTGGGCCAGTATTATCAATCACACGACCCAGCACACACAAAATTTGAATGACAATACCCATCAATTTTTTTGGGGGGGGGGAGTCCCAGCCCCTTCAAATATTTTATTGGGGAGTGGGCTTAAGAGGAGTGTGATAGGAATTTTATGGTCTTAGATATATGGTAATGCTCATAAGCATGCCAATCAAGCACGTACATAGATCAGCACAGGAAGACCAACCAAAACCATTTTGATTCCTAAACTGAGCAAATGTTTTCTCTGCAAGGTGAAAGTGGGAAAACCTCCCATTGTCTCTTTCCTCACAAATCCTGTCTTAAGGGCACATTTAAGAACCATATGTGGCTTCTTGGGATAGAAGCAGCACAATGCAAGGATGAGCATTGACAGAAAGGAACAGAAGGGAGGCTTTGAGAGCCGCATAGGACAGAACTGTTAAAAAAAGAGACAATTAAACCGGGGGATTAAAAGCCCTAGGATTACAATACTGACTATTGAGGAAATCCGCAAGATAAATGCCCTCAGGGCAGCGGACAATACTGATGTTGCAATTGAGGCAGCTAAAACTCCACTTTGATGGCCCCACCCCATCGAGCGTACGACCCCCTGGGGTCATCCGACGCCCAGGACCACAGACCTCCAAGCACTTTTAATCAGAATCCTTCTTTCAAAGAGGACCCGGCCAAAATAATTAGGGGTTTGTCTTCAAGCAGCCAGAAGGCCAGAGACAAAGACTTAATCCCGAAGGGTATCCACGGGAGGGGCAGAAGACACCTAGGGAAGAAGCCAGTGTGCCATCTGCAGGCAAGAGGGTCACTGGGAAATGGAGTGCCCACAGGCCCCACGCCTGACACACCCCACCCCCACTGGCTGGGAACAATGAGATTTCTCAAAAATGATTTCTTCTCATCTCTGTTCTTGCTCAAAGACTGTTGCAGAAAGCATGTGAACAGACTGTTTTTTAAAAATCATGCAAGTAACAGGACATCAGCTTTTTTTCCCCTTGTGCCAGGCGCTTGGAGGTAGCTTCAGAGCGTTATCTCTTGGCTGCTATTCCAAGAAGGACATTGCTGTATTCTCCCCAGCCAGCTTCCCTGAACCCCACACTGTCTGGATTTACAGTCAAGCGACATAAACCCGAAGGCCAAAGGTTACCCACCCCACTTGCCCCAAGTACTAACCTGAAGAAGTGACTTTCTTAAAAAAGCAAGTGAATGCTTTCTGTGAACTTTGTCAAAAGGATTTTTCTTTTTAAGGTGCAATTTTACTCTGAAAAAGGAGCCGCAGCATAACATAGGAATTTTGAAACTTTGCCAGAAGCAAGGAACACATCGTTACGGACACTAAGAATTTTTGACAAATGGAAACTGAAAATTTGCAACATGGCTTACAGGCCACAAAAGCTCTGAAACTTAGAGCACAGGAATGAGACTTTTGAAAAAATCTCAGCTGGCAAAACTTAACCCAAGGAACAGAACTGTTAACCCCTTGCGAAGTTTCCTGCCAAGCATACCCTTTTGGATTCATGTTTGCTAGGCCTCTACCTTATGTGCAAATGTTATCTATCAATATATTCTGTGCAGTCGCTGCCGTCTTTGTTTTTCTGTTCTCTTAACAGGTGGACTTTTGCCAGAACGCCTTGTGCCTTGGTCGAGCCTCTGCATCCCTATGAACCAGCTGATGAGGACCCAGATTGGACCCAGACGCCCTGACATCGCTCCAGCCTTGTTGGAAGAGACCCAAGATGTCCAACGCCCACCAGACGCCCCGACGCCCGTGAGATGACCACCCTGCCTTCCTGCATCACGCTGACGCTTTGCACAGCTGAAGAATCCAGCATGGATTGAAAAGGGGACATTTTCTTTCCTTTCCTTTTGCATAACTGAACTTTATAGAAGGTTGCTGGGCCCCTGGATAGCCTTACACCACCCCTGCGGAGAAGGGTATTTGTGTGGGACGTTCAATCAGGGAAATGATGCCCCAGCCCCCTTTCATTATCTTGCCACCTGTTAGAGCTCCACCCAGAGCCTCCAGAACTTAACTAAAGCCCCCCTTGAACCACAGCACCGACTTGGTAATAACCCTGTGCACGAATGGCACAGATAAGGCTAGGTTCACCGAATTACTGGCTGGTTTTGTGTCAATAAATCAAAGAGCGCCAGTGACAATCTGACATGTACGTTCCCAGCCCAAACCATTACACCTGAGTCCACGCCAGGAACTCTTTCTGGCTTGGTGTGGCCTTCAGAAGGGGAAGGTAGTGTCTCTGCTCACAGACGTGTGTCAGGCAGGCTTATGGAAGGCAAGCTTCTCATATCCACCCACAGGGATGGTATGGAGTGTGCTTCCCAGCCTACCTAATTCCTACTATGTGGATTCCTGAGCAGGTAGCCACTGCACCCCATCGAAGGAGGCGTTCAGCTGACCTAGCAACAATTGCAGGAGGCAGCTCCCAGCTCCCAAACTTGGGGCAAGCATCAGTGGCCTCAAGAAAGGATAGTGGTCCATTTGGGACAGGCCAGGCGGCTGTCCAAAAACAAACAGGGGGGAATGAAGGGACAGGATACCCAAATCCTGTCTGAAATCACCCCAGGCTTCAATAATCACCCCAGGCCTCAAAAGTGTCCAAAACTCCTTTTGTCTTCTAAAAATCCAAAACAGCTTTTCTCTGCTTGTCTCTGCTTTTCTCACAAGATGCTGTGCATAGGCAAAATGTTACTTTTAAAGGCTAATGAATAGGCTCTGTTCTAGTTGCAACATCTTTGGACAGGCTGAACTGCTTTTCATTCCCCTTTTCCTGGGAAGGGTGCCAAGAGTCCAAGAGTCCCAAGACAGCTTTCTGTTCATGCTCAGAGGAACTCATGGGGCAGGACTCTGGAAGAAGGAGGAGAAAGGGGGAGGGAACTGGAAAGGGGTATATATGCTCTGTGCACATGGCTGTGAACCCGTGCATGCTTTTTGTGAACTATCACACTTGCTCCTTCTACCAGTTCATGGATGGTAGAAATAAAGCTTTTTCTCTGAAACTATTCCTTGAGTGTCTGTTGACTCCCACTTCCCTTTCCCGGGTGCAATATTTTTCCCACCCGAGGGCAAAGCCTCATAAGGCTACAGGGGAGTGGGCTTAAGAGGAGTGTGATAGGAATTTTATGGTCTTAGATATATGGTAATGTTCATAAGCATACCAATCAAGCACGTACATAGATCAGCACAGGAAGACCAACCAGAACCATTTTGATTCTTAAACTGAGCAAATGTTTTCTCTGCAAGGTCAATGTGGGAAAACCTCCCATTGTCTCTTTCCTCACAAATCCTGTCTTAAGGGCACATTTAAGATATGAATAGGGTGTGAGCCTGTGACCTGGCCCAGGAACTAAGTATTTATCATTACAAAAGACTGGCCAGGCTCCCCAGGCAATCCAATCAAGTAACCTGCCAGACAGGAGATAAACAAGGACAGGAGAAAAACAACATTCAAATTTCTGTTTTAGACGCCTTTTTTGTGATGTAGGTATGATGTATCTGAGGGGTGGTCTTAGGTTACACCCCTTCTGTGATGTATGTATGATGTTTCTGGGGGTGGTCTTGATCTACAGGGTGGCAATTTCAAAAGTCTTTATAAGGCCTTACGCCCCATTTTTCTGGGTTCCTCCTCCTTTCCTGCGGGTGAGGGGAGCACCCTGTTGCAACAGATCAATAAAGATCAAGCTTATTAGCTGCTTTGCTTCTCAATATTCTCTGGTTGGCCTCTGTTATTCTCTCCTACCAATAGGGAACCTATGTAAGGACTCTATATGGGGCTCTTGGATACCCCATAAGGGAAAAGGGCTATTTTTGTTTACAACAGCTCCTAAACTGGGATATGTGTTGTTCCTGGATCCATGTTGATACGGAAGGGGGGGGCATGTCTTCTTCACCTTCTTCTTCGCTACAATATATCCATTTATTTCCAATTGTCAATGTCAAAAGGGACTAAAATCTATAAAATTCATAGAAAATCAACGTGCCAATTTGCTCAATTTCTCTAGGACTCCATGACACCTCCCCTGTCCTCCATAATCCCTCAACCAAGGTGTCAAGACCCTAATCCTGTCAAATCACTCTGCCAAGCCTTTCCTCCGGGCAATGCCAGGTGACAGAATATGCATACATGGACCATTGACTTCTCATCACCGGTACTCAGGAAGTGCTTAGCTGCGCATATCTCCAGCTCTGCATAATCCCCCCTCCCTCCTCCATATGTTAATCCGGTGTAACCCAACCTCTCCTTAATGTATTCATGATGTAATCTGTGTAACCCAACCTCTCCTTAATGTATTCATGATGTAACTGTGATGTATTTTGCACTGTATTTTGGGACATGGAGGGAAGTTTCAAAAGTTCATGTCACCCCTTTCTCGCTGTTCAATCTCGTCTTGAACCTGTTGTGCAATAAACTTGGATCTTCTGCAGTTTGCTCCTGTCTCCGGCTTAGCTCATTTTCTTCCGCAGGGACCCGCGGACTTAGTCCGACGAGCTGGGTGGCAGAGTAGCCCCGCACCCTGATTTTACTGTAACAATGTCTTTGCTTGCTTGGCTATGTGTAGCACCTGATGTCTTTGAATGGCATTTTGCCCATGTATCACACTGATCTGGGCATTAAAGATTTTGGTAGACACAGCAACCTCTAGTTCAAATTCTTCACTGAGTGGGAGGAGATGGGAAATTCTCCTCCACAGTGTGCTTTTCTAGAGATTCTCCTGACCCTCCCAGAGCCAGATGGCGGGGCATGTGGGTGTCTATGCTCTTCCCTTTCCCTATAACAAGATGTTCTTGTTCCTCCAATAATTTCTATCCAGTTGTAATTGAAAGTGGCACCATGGACAAACATCTCCTAAGGCAGGGGTCAGCAAACTTTTTCAGCCGTGGGCCGGTCCACTGTCCCTCAGACCATGTGGTGGGCCAGACTATATATTTTGGGGGGGGGGCGGAAACAACGAATTCCTATGCCCCACAAATAACCCAGAGATGCATTTTAAACAAAAGCACACATTCTACTCATGTAAAAACCCTAGGCGGGCCCCACATATAACCCAGAGATGCATTTTAAATAAAAGGACACATCTTGACGTTTTCATCCCCAAAAAGTTTTTGATTTGAGTTTCTACTGAAATGAGGCTGCATTTTTAATGTATTTTAATCTTGTTTTTAAGTTGTATTTTAATCAATTGCTTTTATACCTGGTGTTAGCCGCCCTGAGCCCGGTTTTGGCTGGGGAGGGTGGGGTATAAATAAAATTTATTATTATTACTCATGTAAAAACATGCTGATTCCCGGACCGCCCACGGGCCGGATTGAGAAGGCGAATGGGCCGCATCCGGCCCATGGGCCTTTGGTTGCCTACCCCTGTCCTAAGGGATCGCAGGTAGAAAATGGTCTTTCTAGCTTTTATTTAATAAAAAAAATCAAAAACTTTTCAATTCTGAAATTGTAAATATTATTTAACACAATATGAAGAGGTGTTGATGTGCCAGGTACAGAGAAACATTTTTGTATTGGATTAATTCCTAAACCTAGATTTAAAAAATGATATTAATTCATTTTGCCTTCTTAATCTTCTGAATCAAGATCAAAAAATGTTCACAGCAGTCTGGTCAATAGTTTGAGTAGTAGTGCTCCAGCAATAGGAACATCTACCCACTTCCAGTCTTGTGGTTCCTTTAGAATTTCCGAAAAGTGTAATTAACCACTGACATAATATCTGCAAGTTCCTTTAGTACCCTAGGGTGCAATTCACCAGGCCCTGGAGACTTGAATTAGTTTCAATGGGCTAAGGGCTCCTGTATCATCTCTTCACCTATCTGGGGTTGCAACTCTGTCCATTTATCTCTTAATCTGTTTTTATGAGGTCAAACACAGTTTCCATTGTGTGAGAAGACTGAAGCAATCCTGTCTGCTCCCTGTCACCTGCTAAGACTTTTCCGTCCTTCACACCGTGAACCTACCACTTCCTGAACACCCACCCACCCTCCTTTTGGTTATTTTGAACACCTCTAATAAGCCTCACATGCATTGTGAGCTTTAGCCCTGCTGATAATCTGTACAAGTTTTGGCTATTGATCTGAAATTGCCCTCAGTGATTTTCCCTTTCAGAACTCTTTGTTTTCAGAGCTCAAGAGAATACCGTATTTTTTGCTCTATAATACTCACTTTTTCCCTCCTAAAAAGTAAGGGGAAATGTGTGTGCGTCTTATGGAGCGAATGCAGGCTGCACAGCTATCCCAGAAGCCAGAACAGCAAGAGGGATTGTTGCTTTCACTGCGCAGCGATCCCTCTTGCTGTTCTGGCTTCTGAGATTCAGAATATTTTTTTCCTTGTTTTCCTCCTCCAAAAACTAGGTGCGTCTTGTGGTCTGGTGCGTCTTATAGAGTGAAAAATACGGTAAATATGTTTGGGCTGAACATACTTGGGGTGTTTCTAAAGTGGTCTCCCAGCTCTAAAGATGTCCTAGAAAAATATAATTGTCCCTCACTAGGTTATCATACTTGACAGTTCAGAATGAATCCCAGGCTGTTTATGTGGTTGTATTTACATAGATCCTCACTTTAGCCAAGATGCGTCTGTTCCACTCTAGAGATTAAACCTCTTGAGGTCCTCCTCTGCTTCTAGATGTTAATCTGAAGGTTTAACAAAATTTATTAAGACTCCTTCAAAGGGGAAATAGGGGTATATCAATTATTGCTCGGGTTGTGCTCTGGGGCAGGGAGAGGCAGTTCTGCAGGTTTGCAGCCCAACTGGTTGTGAATGTGGGTACCAATTATCCAGTCTATGATTCCCACCCTCATACCATCCTCAGGGCACTTTTGCTTCTATTCTAAACACTTCTTTTTTAAAAAAAAAAAAAAGGCAAAACATGACTGCTTAAATTAATATAGCTATACTTTAAAAAGGAGGATTCAATATGCCAAAATAATGTACAGTGGTACCTCTGGTTGCAAACGGGATCCGTTCCAGAGGCCCATTCGCAACATGAAAAGCTCATAACCTGAAGAGCTATATCTGCGCAGGTGCACGGCGCAATTTGGTGCTTGTGCGCATGTGCAAAGCGCAATTTAGCGCTTCTGTGCATGCATGAGCGGCGAAACCTGGAAGTAACCTTTCCCGTTACTTCCGGGTTTCCACGGGACGCAACCTGAAAAAACGTAACATGAAGCAAACGTAACCTGAGGTACCACTGTACTTCTATCCGATGAATTGCAAAGCCAGTAGGAAGCTGTATTTCGAACACGAGTGAAGAACCTGCCATGACTAGTCTTTAAATATTGGGTTGATTTAGATGTAATCTCAGGCACACACAGTCCCCATCCCACTGGCATGGCTGTGAGAAAGAAGTTAGAAGCTTTTGCCTCTGTTTCAGATTAAGCACAGTTTGCCCTTTTGTTCAAACCAGACAACCTAGGCTATTTGAAACAGGCCAACGTCAAGCCAGAGTTGACCAAATTAGCTAGTTTCAACTAACCATAGGGTTGATTATGCTGTGTTCACACGACAGGCGAAACTGGAGGTAATCTGAAATGGGTGTTTATAATCTCTTATTTGTGGCTGCCCTGGAGAGGGGCATGGAAGAAGCCAAGGCTCAATGGGGCTTCTTCTTGTTCTGTTACGTCGTCTGTAGTGCATGAAGTGGGTGGAGCAGCCATGGCATCCTTTTGTTATTGTGATGCACTCACTGGGGCAGGGATGAAGTGCAGCAAGGTGGTGGCAAGGCTCTGGGAGAGTGGCATGTATGCTTTCAGGACACCAAGACTCCCAAACTGCAGCTCCCAAATCTCTCTGCCTCTGTCCCAGTAATCTCAGGGTTGCCACCAGCAGAGTCCCCACCCTGCTCACATGCCACTGCTTTGCTAAACCGTGGCTAATGCTTTATCTGAACACACTTGTGGAAATATACTCGGAGTTCTGTTGTGATTTCATGCTCTTTATTGCAGCTTGTAAAACAGTGATTTAATTGCCCCCCAAACCTCAGGCTTCTATATACATGTCCCGTCTGATTGGCTGATTCTGCTTCCCCTCTGGAGCCTGATTGGTCTTTTCCTGCAGGCCAATCAGTTGTTGTATTCTAGGATCCTACTTGCCTATTGTTCTAGGATCCAAGCTTAGTACATAACACTTGTTATGCCTATCTTTGCCCTATATCTAAAATATACTAAGTGCTGAGGGACATATGTGCAGCAAATAAACATGAATCCATGTCTGGATTCTGTCCTGGAACCAATATGATTGCCAATAAATAACGTGTCTTTTTTGGAGAGCTGAAAGCAGTTTGAAAGAGGATCACTGCTTATGTTGTACACTATCATAAGAATATACCCTCCAACATTTCTCTGATGAAAATAGGGACATCCTATTCAATAATAATAATAATAATAATAATACTTTTATTATTTATATGCACACACCATAGGAAATGTTATCTCTCTCAAGCTACTTTCAGTACTCATAAAAATGATTGTCTGTCTCCAAGTAGCTGAAAAACAAAGTCCATTTCCATCAGCATGACTCAGCACACCGTGTAAGAAAAGAAATAACCTGTGAAAGGGAAAAAGAAGAATTAGTGTTTTTAGACCACAGAACCATGAGAATTAAAATTAGATGTGAGGTGGTAATTAGATGTCTGTAGCTGCTTGGCTGTATAAATTCAGGCTACAGGTGGGGCTCCATTGCTGAGTTTTCCTACAGATTGAAAAAACAACCCTTAACTTTAATTTCACTATATGTAGAAAATTGGTGTGCCAGGGAGGAGGTGAGGCTTCTATGTGTAAATGATTTTGTTTGAATAGAATAACATGCAATTATGCAAGCCCTTTGTGTTCTGAAATAGTACGAGTCAGACACAATTTGACCACCTGAATAGGTCCACACAGGCAACTTAAAACACAGTGAAGTAATTTCCCCACACACATTTGCACTAGCTGTACACACTAAAGAGGGGTCAGGGTCATTACCTGATTTGTTGTCTGGTCCCCACAACTCCTATTCAAGGAAGTTGTCATCTGCCCATGTGCAATGGCAGCTAAAACTGTGCACACTTCAGCCACGGCATGTGTTTTCAAACCGCATGTAAGGTGGTTTGAGGGAAAACACATCAAATGGGAGCATTTTTCGAGGAACTACAGGATGCATATGGATTGTAGCTAATATGCTCTGTGCTTGGTTTCCAACACCTGTGAAATATACTCGGAGTCCTGTAATGATTTCATGCTCTTTATTGCAGCTTGTAAAACAGTGATTGAACTGCCCCCCCGCAACCTTAGGCTTTTATATACAGTGGTACCTCGGGTCAAGTACTTAATTCGTTCCGGAGGTCTGTACTTAACCTGAAACTGTTCTTAACCTGAAGCACCACTTTAGCTAATGGGGCCTCCTGCTGCTGCCACGCCGCCGGAGCCCGATTTCTTTTCTTATCCTGAAGCAAATTTCTTAACCTGAAGCACTATTTCTAGGTTTGCAGAGTGTGTAACCTGAAGCATATGTAACCCGAGGTACCACTGTACATTATTTACACAATGAGTGCCATCTGATTCTGCTTCCCTCCTGGAGCCTAATTGGTCTTTTCCTGCAAGCCAATCAGTTGTTGCATTCTAATAATAGTAATAATAGTAATAATAAATAAATAAATAAATAAATAAATAAATACCCTGCCCTCCCCGGCTCAGGGCAGCTAACACCAGTAAAAATTACAGTAAAAACATAATAGGGGAAACAATAAAATAAAATAAAATACAGGTTAAAATGCAATTTAAAATACAGCCTCATTTTAAAAGTGGCCTCTAGAATCCTACTTGCCTATTGTTCTAGGATCCAAGTTTAGTACATAACAACCTGTGTTGGTAGTGCCCTGGCTCTGGAGTAAATAAGTCGCAGTGTGTACAAATGCCTAGGGCAGAAAGAACAAATGCAGGCATTCCTGCATGTGGCGACTGTTTCTTAAGAACGGAAACAGCAGCCTTGAAATTGGTCACTGACTAAAAAACGTAATGGAATTTATGGGCTGGGCCAAGGACCCTCCCATTGAGAGCCAGGTAAATGCCTCAGGATACCCAAATGATAAGATAAGGCAAATCAATGGCAGCCTAGGAAAGTGGTGATGTGGAGAATTAATGGGTGACTGGAAAGAGAGGGAAAGTTAGGGGCAGAGCAGTGTGCAGCTGACCTACTTCACAGATACGGCACACTGGTATATTTTTTATGTTTTTAAAAGCTGACGCAGCCAACTTGTATTACAAGACAGTAGGCCTGGTATAATAATATTTATCATTGATACAGTGTGGTTTATGTCTGCTTTATATACACGGTCAACAACCCTTCAAGATAAGCCAGAATTATTATCCCCACAAGGAAGGAAAGGGGGGCTGAGACGAAAAACAGTCTTTCCCAAGCCTCACAGTTCTAGTGAGTTCTTGGCTAAAGTCAGAATTGAACCATGGGCTCCCCAGCTAACATCCTTACTTATGACACTAAGCCAACTCTATTCCATGTGTCATAAAGGTAAAGGTAAAGGACCCCTGGATGGTTAAGTCCAGTCAAAGGCAACGGTGGGGTTGCGGCGCTCATCTCACTTTCAGGCCAAGGGAGCCGGCGTTTGTCCACAGACAGCTTTCTGGGTCATGACACCGTGATGGAAACCAGAGTGCACAGAAACGCCGTTTACCTTCCCGCTACTTGCACTGGTGTACTTTTGAACTGCTCGGTTGGCAGGAGCTGGGACACAGCAACGGGAGCTCACCCCGTCACGGGGATTCGAACCACCGACCTTCCGATTGGAAAGCCCAAGAGGCTCAGTGGTTTAGACCACAGCGCCACCCGTGTCCCTCCCTTCATGTGTCATATAGTGAATATGAATTGTAAAGTGGACAGTCATTCATGGGAGTGTTTTCAACACATTCCCATGATGAAAAACCATAAAAATATTAGCTTTGGTCACCCACATACAGAGCCTCAACAGGCATATGAATGGCCTTGCCTCTTCTTTTACCTGGGTGGCATTCGGTTTTCATTCAGTTGCCCTTGTGATCTACACTTGTCAGGAAATGGTGCACAGCCATGATAGCTAAAAAGAACTCCTCAGCTGAACTTTTTGTCCTAGGAGGGAATACAGTATGATCTCATTTCCCCTGTTGTGTGTATCATTTGAAGAGTTTTTAACAAAATTTGTCTCTTTTTGGAGGTGTTCCCTGCTGGTGTACATCTGGTTTAAGCTAAGAACACATAATGGCTATCATTCCCACATTCTGTTGGGAAAGTTTTCCTTTCGTGCCCATGCTATCCATCCAAAAGGTGTTTCTGGAGAACGACAGGCTCATTTGTCCTGTTAATGTAACATCAGGTTGCACACAAATCCATTTGGTGCCTTTGAGACAGGATACATCCAGGCAGAATTGCTACTGAAGTTATCCCAAAGGAAAACTTTGAGGTGAACCTCAATGGCACAGCCTCTCTTCAAATATTAGATAAGCCACCTTGAATCAGAATTGTAGAATTGGAAGGGACCGCAAAAGTAATCTAATCCAACCCCTCAATGCAGGAATCTTCACACCAATGTGGGGCTCATACACCTGAGATTAAGTCTCATTCTCTACCAAAGGAGCTATCCCTCAGGGCTTGCTATTGTTTGGACTTTCCACAGCAACAGCAATACCTTTGCATGCATTGTATGTGGGCATGTGACATTTTGGCGCCTGAAGCAAACCACCAAATGGTGCCTCCCCCACCAGGAATGAAGTGAATATCTAAATCAGGAACAAGGAAGAAATAAAAGATCTACATTGGGATCTGCTGCCCTGTGGACTCTGCCACCTGAGGCAGTCACCTCATCAGTGGGCCGAGAGAGAATAGGAAGGACTGAGGGATTAAGAAAAACAGAAACAATTTCGAAAGAAGGATTAGATTTAAACTGAAAATTATGTCAGCCAGTTGCCAGCTGATTATGCCAAACTCCACTCTTGAGTCAGCTGCCGTTTGGTGACTGGTTCTTCCATTGCATCATCAACTTGTGACTGATGGGCCTCCATAATTTTCAACTTTCTCAAGTGGGTCCTGCGGTTTGAGAAACCCCTGCTCCAGATTGTAGTGCTCTTCTGCTAGCAAGGAGCAGGATAGCAGGCTGTGAAGTGAGCACAGCTTCATGGAAATGTGTGCATGATTGCTCCATAAGGAAGAGTGTCTGGCTTTTTCCTGGTACTCATCTCATAGTGTTCCTGATGTGCAGATATAGTACCAGGTAGGGAATGTGGGGCTTTCCCATTAGCTGGGTCAAAACATAATAATCTACACCGGCCTTCCCCAACCTGGTGCCTTCAGATGTTTTGAAATACAATTCCCACGAGCCCTATCCAGGCCAGGAAAGGCTAACCATCTCAGATAATTGTTTTCAAACTGTTCTGGGGAACTCCAAGCTCAGGAATTGAGTATGTGCCGTGTAGTTCAGTTCTGTGAAGAGAAAAGGCTTGTTTGCTGGCCAGTAAGAAGCCAAAAAGTTTCAAAGCCACTGATCTACAGTGTTGAATCACTTCCCTAATGCTCTGTTCTTTTTGCAAGTTTAGATCCTGGGTTGGGGTAATATTTCAGTGATCCTTCACCCAGTTGTCAAGATTTCAACAACACAGCTGTAATTTCACAAGAACTTTCGCCGCTTTTATTCTGTGCTCCTAATCCCCAGGTGTTTTCCTTAAATCACCAGAGACACTCTGCCTCGGCTGTCGTCTGGGAAGGTTACTGACCTGACGGCAGCTCCATTCCCTCTTTGTCCATATAGCACAGAAGTCAAGGGTGTAAACTAAAACCGGTACCTGCCAGGCAACCTGAGTAGTAGGAAGAACACATAGTTTATATCTTTACAGAGCTCATAAATAGTTATGTACATGCCATGTGATTTAGGGATGGGCCTAATGCCCCACCCGGTTGAAGGAGGTGTCACTGAAGGCTTTCTACAAGATAAAAGAGAGAGAGAGAGATCTTCGCCCCAGTAAGAAAAAGAAGCTGGAGACGCAGATTGACACATACCCCTTACTCACTCTTTGCAATACGCCACCTATTTCCTCAGTTGCCTTCCTGCTCTTTTAAAGAGGCCCAGCTGGGAGGGCAAAAGAGGAAAGAAAAACGTTCTCACGTGAAGAAAGGAGACAATACTATTTGGGGAGAAAGATCGTGAAATCTAAGAAGGGGTAGCTCTCTGTTTCTACACTCGCAACTTCCTCCTTGGATGTTTGGATGTGCCCTTAAAGGGTGAAGACGGGAAGCTGCTGGAGTTTCTTCTCTTGCTGGGAGCCCTGGCAAAGGAGCTTGCAGTCAGTTACCTGGGGATGACCACAGGAGGGAAGACCTCATGGCTGAGGCTGGTGCAAAGCATCCAAGTTTGGTGAGTGACCAGGGCTGGTCAGGGGCTGCTGCTGTCAGAGACTTGTGTGAGTGTTGCTTGTGAGGTGTGTACATGCATGCGACAAAGTAAAATGAAAAATACTGAGAGCATCGGTCACATGTGTGTGTCTGTTTAGCATTAGAATCCTTTTACAAAGCTTTAAATGACCTGAGTGTAGTTCATTCTGTCCTGTGCAAGAAGTCAGCTGGTGCTCAGACATTGCAATCACATTTATATGTACTCGGGAGTAAGCTGTGCTTAGTGTGGTTTACTCTCTACTAAGCCTGTTTAGGTTTACAGCCTGAATTATGAACAAGCTTGATTGGTAGATAGGGAGGAAAAAAGCACAAACCCACGAAACTAACTACTCCTGTAAAGTTGAGTCAGCATTTCCAAACTACTGTTGCCACTTTTGTCTTCCGTCATCCTTATTACAGTACTTCTTAAGCTTTTTTTTTAAATATACAGATTTAACAGCATCTCAAAGCACGAGGCTGTGAGCTGTCATTGATAATATATGCATGCTTCATTGTTACATTGCAGCAATAACCATGAATCATAAATGCAATGTATCTTAAAGGTTAACCAAGAAATTGGTGTTATGGTACGTTTTGAATACTATTGCTAAGATTTAAAACAGTTTTCCATGATTTAAGATGAGCTATATTTTTAATTAGTGAAGATTTGGCTCTCTGTGTGTAAATAGATCCATTTATAATATATACATATTTACAATTTAATGTGCCTTTCTTTAAGGCACATGGGTGGCACTGTGGTCTAAACCACAGAGCTTAGGGCTTGCCGATCAGAAGGTTGGCGGTTCGAATCCCTGCCACGGGGTAAGCTCCCGTTGCTCGGTCCCAGCTCCTGCCAACCTAGCAGTTTGAAAGCACCTCAAAGTGCAAGTAGATAAATAGGTACCGCTCCAGCGGGAAGGTAAACAGCGTTTCTGTATGCTGCTCTGGTTCGCCAGAAGTGGCTTAGTTATGCTGGCCACATGACCCAGAAGCTGTCAGCGGACAAACACCAGCTCCCTTGGACAGTAAAGCGAGATGAGCGCCACAACCTAGAGTCGTCTGTGACTGGACCTAATGGTCAGGGGTCCTTTTACCTTTACCTTCTTTAAGGAACGTGGTGTTTAGCAACCTCCCCTCCACAATAGTTTAATTAATTATCATAATTATGTTAATTATAGGTATGCTTGGATTCGCTTGGGCTTTCTTTTGCTCAAGTGTTTGTTTCATACCATGTATGATGCTTACATGACCATTTCTCAGCCATCTTGGATAGCCTAAACGCAATTGGAAGATACACAGTTAGAGACACTCTGAAAGTGGGTTTTGTGTGTGTGTGTTTTTTAAAAAACAAAACTACAGCTGTTAATCCTACTGAGCATGTGAGCTAGTTTAAAGTCAAAAAGCTGCTTGTCTGTTCAATCAGATGATTGACTATAGTAAAAATCTCCGGAATTTCCAGCTGCATGTACATAGGGGGTCAAAGTTTCTGGCTGTTGGTGGTTCAAGCCTACCCTGGGACGGCATTACAGGAGGTTGGACAAGGTGATACCCCCCCTGGGATACCTTCCAACTCTGCAATTCTATGATTCTATCTCCCCTCCATCCTTCAGAATCTAGGGTTGTATCCATGTTTATTGTCTATGGAAGTGTGTTGTTGGAACACATGTGATATATATATATATATATATGCATGCTAGATAAATGTATCTAGTAAATGGCACCCGTCCTGTGGAATGCCCTCCCACCAGATGTCAAAGAGAAAAACAACTACCAGACTTTTAGAAGACATCTGAAGCCAGCCCTCTTTAGGGAAGCTTTTAATGTTTAATAGGTTACTGTATTTTAATATTTTGTTGGAAGCCGCCCAGAGTGGCTGGGGAGACCCAGCCATACGGGCAGGGTAAAAATAAATTATTATTATTATTATTATCGTTGTTGTTGTTGTTGTTGTTGTTGTTATTACGCTGGTTCATGAAGGTGAGATACCAGGAAAGGGTACTGCAGCTGAGAGACAGATAATTTTTTCAGACAACTCCTGCCACCCCTCCCCACCCTTTCTTCCTTTTTCTTATTCACTTCCTTTTCTTCCTCTGTCCTTTGTTTGGGTTTTTGCAAGCACCTTCCGTCTCTGACTCTGCAGAGTGGAATTTTCCTGCACTGCTGCTAGGCTCAGGAACACACAGAGCTTCGGTGGTGTTTTTTTTTAAAGGCATGGGAAACGAGAGTCCAGTAAGAAAGCTATTATTAGTGCAAAACAGAGGCCAATAGCAGAACTTCTTCCATCTGGGATTTCCCTGTAGCCTGAAAGGAGCAATGTCCATGCGTGGCACAGCCTGCCTCATGATGACCATGCATGCTTGCCCGAAAGGAGCTGTTTAAAAGGGCTTGTGTTGCTGTCAGACACCAAAGGGAACAACATGATTGTGCTGTGAACATGCAAGTGAAGCCAAAGTTAGAGAGCCATTTATTTCACCTGGGGAGCAAAGGATGCAGTTAAATCAGACTGGGTGAGCCTCTCTGCTTTTTTATCTGCAGTGGGTATAAGTAAACTATTATGATTATTATTTAAAAGGTAAAGGGACCCCTGACCATTAGGTCCAGTCGTAACCGACTCTGGGGTTGCGGCGCTCATCTCGCTTTATTGGCCGAGGGAGCTGGTGTACAGCTTCTGGGTCATGTGGCCAGCATGACTAAGCCGCTTCTGGCGAACCAGAGCAGCGCACGGAAACGCCGTTTACCTTCCCGCTGGAGCAGTACCTATTTATCTACTTGCACTTTGTGCTTTCGAACTGCTAGGTTGGCAGGAGCAGGGACCGAGCAACGGGAGCTCACCCCGTCACTGGGATTCGAACCGCCGACCTTCTGATTGGCAAGCCCTAGGCTCTGTGGTTTAACCCACAGTGCCACCCGCGTCCCTCTATGATTATTATTTATTGCACTGGAATTTTTTTCACCTCGTTACCTTTTTTTTTGTCTGGTTCACAGACCCCCTGAAGCCCATTCACAGACCCCCTAGGGTCTCCTGGTTTCATTTCTCTTGGGTAAAGCAGCATAGGAGACTTACAACGTCGTCTTCATGTTTTTTATTTACAATTTAAATGTACAGACAGAACATATGGGAAGCAAGGGGATTCCTGCGGCGCGCAGCAGAACCACTGATCTTGCGCCAGATTCCCAGAGCGAAAACTGCACCCCACTGTGATTTTATCTTTAGTCAACCCACAGCTGTGTCAGCTTTCTACCGGGCTCTGCCTGCATTGGCTTTCAAACTTGCCCATCCCACTAGCCCAAAGGTGCTGCCTTTCAAAGGAGCAGAGAGATTCCAGGCTGTGAAGAAAGAGCTTCCCCAGCCATTGAGAAAACATAAACTTATCTTCCCCATTGGCAAGTCCAATTAGCTATTTTGGATGGATAGATAGATAGAAAAGAGGGACAAATGATGTTGGGAAGTCTCACACAATGTGATCGTTGTGCGGGATTTATTCTGAAATGTGTGGGTGGCATTCAACTTAGAGCCATTGAAATTAACAAACATACTGAGATAGGTGCATTAGTTTCAACAAGTCTACTCCAAGTAAAGCTTAGTTGAACACCACCCTATGTTTTTCTGTGTAGTTGCTTGAGTCGCTTGGAATTTGTCCTGGCAGCACATTCCTTTTGTCCGATGCATATTGCATATTGGGTATGTCCTCATGGCTATGTGTGATATTATACCTTTTGAGAGACGCAAAAAGCTATGTTGAAATGCTGTTGTTGCCCATTGCTTATTTCTTGTGTCTGCCTAGGGTCAGTTTAGCGTGCCTTTGTTGCACTTCAGGTTCCACAAGGAAAGCTGGAATTAGTTCTCTGAAGTGCAACCAGTGCTGCATTTGGTCTTTTGTCTGCATCTTAGCATGACTATCACGGATCTCTACTAGGATCAGTAGTTTTCAGCCTTATCAGACCACTTTTAACTCAATCATGCATACAGGGGCTAATTTCTTAATTTTAAAAAATTGCTTTAAAAATCCCCAACAATCTATTTGTGTGGTGGTAGTGCTGTTTTTGCAACCCACCTTAGATTAGGCCAGGGTTGGCAAGGTTTACCTCACCTGGGCCGGTTCAGTCCAGCGGAGATCCCTCTGTGGGCCAGATTGTGTGCGCACATGAGCATGCGCATGAGCGCACCCGCCCACGATTTCTGGTGTCTGTGTCTGTGCAGATGTGATTTCCACCACCATGGAAGCGAGTCCCCGTGCCGCGCTGCACCGGTTTAGCACAGCACAGGGGGACTCACGGCTCGGTTCAGGGGCGGCTTGTGGGCCAGTTAAATGACCCCTGTGGGCCACTTGGGTTGCCAACCCACCAGCTGAAGACCAGATGGCACTTCCAATTCCTAGCGTTCGCAGCAATTTTGGACCAGTTTTTAGCTTTAAAATTATATATTAGAATATATTTGCTTATCTAGATATCCGCAGGAGCACTCATGTAGCCCTTTGAAGTAACAGCACAATTTTATTCAAAGGTATCTATTTTCACTCAACTGTGACCTAACATTTTTCATCCTATCTATCTATCTATCTATCTATCTATCTATCTATCTATCTATCTATCTATCTATCATTCTATCTATCTATCTATCTATCTATCTATCTATCTATCTATCATCTCCATGTTTTCCTTTGAGAATCCACTAGGGCAGGAGGGGCGGGGGGAACCTTTGGCCCTTCAGATGTTGCTAAACTACAACTCCCATCAGCCCTAGCAAGTATGGCCAATGGCCAAGGATTATGGTAGTTGGAGTTTGGCATCATCTGGCAAGCCAAAGCTTCTCCACAGTTGCACAAGAGCGAAGTCTAAGGAAGAGCAAGCTCTCTGCTCATCCTCCTTATTCCAGGAATGAGGGATGTCTTTCAGCTCAAGGGCGGAAGCCACATACTAGTGGCAGGTGGAGCAACAGAGACCACATTCCAGCCATGAAAAGGTCAGCTGTTTCCACAACCAGAGGCCCACACACGTTTCTCCATCCATCCAGCAAGAGGAATTATCTCAGTCCCAGTAGGCAAAAGCAGGGAAGGAGGATTTGTATGGCTTGGGGTAGGAGGGTATAGTTTGGGGAGTCCCAGGGGCCAGATACAGAGGGCCACATTTGAGCCCCAGGCCAAAGGTTCCCTTTGTTGTTGTTTAGTCATTTAGTCGTGTCCGACTCTTCGTGACCCCATGGACCAGAGAATTCCAGGCACTCCTGTCTTCCACTGCCTCCCGCAGCTTGATCAAATTCATGCTGGTAGCTTCGAGAACACTATCCAACCATCTCGTCCTCTGTCGTCCCCTTCTCCTTGTGCCCTCAATCTTTCCCAATATCAGGGTCTTTTCCAGGGAGTCTTCTCTTCTCATGAGGTGGAGCCTCAGTTCTCATGTACTGGAGCCTCAGCTTCACGATCTGTCCTTCCAGTGAGCACTCAGGGCTGATTTCCTTCAGAATGGATAGGTTTGATCTTCTTGCAGTCCATGGGACTCTCAAGAGTCTCCTCCAGCATCATAATTCAAAAGCATCAATTCTTCGGTGATCAGCCTTCTTTATGGTCCAGCTCTCACTTCCATACATCACTACTGGGAAAACCATAGCTTTAACTATATGGACCTTTGTGGGCAAGGTGATGTCCCTACCCCTGCCCTAATCCTTCATTATGTTGTATATTTATCCTGGATGAGGGCTAGCGCTTCAATAGCTCTAAGTGGTTACTTCATTGGGATGATTGCCTGTATATATTTGCGCTCATGTCATCAGGTACTTGGCTTGCACATGGCGTGTCATTTGAGACCCTTGCTTGCCGTGTGCTTGAGTCACATGTGCCCGTGTCTCTTCATCAGCATCACTGCCTTTCATCTCTTTGACAGATGCCCATTCTTGCCGCTGCCCAGCTTTCTCGCATTGACTGCCACGCTTACCATTCCCTCTGCCATGTTATCCGCATCACACTGGAAGAGTCTCCGTCAAACGTTAATGGTGCTGTTCACCGCCACGCTTCTCATTGGAATAACCATGCTGGCCCTCTCCACTGACATCAACCCCGTTGGATTTTTCTTCATTGCAGTGGGGGGTCTGTGTTTGCTTGGCTACCTCACTAGTTTGGCAGTGGAGTTCTACCTGAAGCAACGCAATCCAGTGGAAGAAAATAATCCAGGCTCGCGGAGACAAAGTCAGGCTGGGTAAGCAGCTGCGTCTACTTTCCTCTCCTTTCCATATGCTGACCCTTTAGAGGTAGTCTATACAAAGAGCAGATTGTGGTAGATGAGGCTTCCTTAACCTCGGCCCTCCAGATGTTTTGAGACTACAGTTCCCATCATCCCTGACCACTGGTCCTGCTAGCTAGGGATCATGGGAGTTGTAGGCCAAAAACATCTGGAGGGCCGAGGTTGAGAAAGCCTGTGGTAGATCATGAAAAGAGCATGACCAAATCAGACCATGGATCTGTTTGTTCTGCATGCTGATGATAATATCGTTTATACCCCACTCATCTGGCTGGGTTTCCCCAGCCACTCTGGGTGGCTTCCAGCAAAATATAAAAACACAATAAAACGTCAAAACATTAAAAACTTCCTGATACAGGGCTGCCTTCAGGTGTCTTCTAAAAGTTGTGTAGTTCTTTATATCCTTGACATCTGATGGGAGGACATTCCAAGAAGGCCCTCTGCCTGGTTTCCTGTAACCTCACTACTCGCCGTGAGGTAAACGGAAGAAGACCCATGGAGCTGGACCTCAGTGTCTGGGCTGAACGATGGGGGTTTAGGGCTTTAAAGGTCAGAACCAACACTCCAAGTGGCCAACCAACAATTCTGGGAAGCCTACAAGCTGATCATGAAGGCAACAGCCCATTCTGAGGTATATTAGCTCTCAGCTGTTTAGCTACAATGGCTCGAGGTTCTACTTAACTGTAGTGGCAAATAGCTTGTAATTGATATATTCTCCATTGACTTAGGCCTAAAGTCTTAAAAACTCCCCTGAGCTACCAGTTACCACCTCCTCTTGGGTCAGTGAAACAAATAATGCATTGTATGAAATATTCCCAGTGGAGGACTGCAGGATCGTATTAACAAAACTGCTTGTGGCTGGTTGTTAAAAGCAATGAGAACCATGAGTTGGCATTGCATCTGAACCAGCCTCAAGAAAGCCAGGGGCAAGAGTGAAAGGATTTGTTATTTGGGGGTGGGATTCTATCTGGAAGCACCCTAAAAGTCTATCAAATTCTACAGTAGGTTTAATAGTCACTCCTTCTCTGCAGCAAACTTTGGGAACTATAGCTCCAGTGAAAGGAGTAGGAGACCCCTAACAGCTCTCAGCACTCTTAGCAAGATACAGTTCCTGGAATTCTTTTGGGGGAAGCCCTCACTGTTTAATAATAATACTACTTTTATTATTTATACCACACACATCTGGCATCGTACTGTTTTAAATGCACGGTGCAGATGAGGCCTGTGATTGTGGGGGCCAGAATGCCCTTGATGATCCCATTGCTTGAATATGGTAGATATTCTTGTTTGCTGAGAGCACAGAGAATCCTCCTTTGTGGAAAGTATGGAGCTATTATAATGATTTGTGTTTTTAACTACTTCCCCTCTCTTTTACCAGCATAGACAATGAGGCCTATGAGGCACCGGCATATGAGGAGGTGGTGACTACTGGCTACTTATCGGGACCAACCATCTGGACCATCACCTCCAGCCCAGGGACAACCCCAGTGGAGCCCCCTCCGTACAGCGTGGTCATTGAGCCTCCTGCCCACGGAGAGACTGTGGTCGAGGCGTTCAGTGTTTCGGTGGCACCAGGCCCACGGCGTGCCTCCGAGGCAGATCTACAGTCCCGGTTCCGCCTCAGGTTGCTCATGCCACCAAAACTGCAGCGATTTGTCTCGGATACCCATGAACTCAAAGGTGTTGAAGAGCGGGCAGAACGTCCGGAGCCCCTCACGCCCCCTCCTGCTTATGAGAACGCGACTGTGGAGGAGGTCCTTGAAGAAGAATTTCAGCCCTCCAGGCTATGAGAACGGTGCACCGTGGACATTTTTCGTCAGACTTTCTTCGGTGGTCGTCCTGTTGCAATCCATGCGATATGAGAAACATGGCTTGTGTGCAAGATGTTAGCTGCTGTATCCGCTTTTTAAGAACTCTCCTGAGAAATGTGCACATACAGGTCTGAATTTCTCATGGGAAATACAAATATACAGTATATAAAAAAACGAACTTGTGTTTTCTGACGTTTCCAGAATGTTCTTGGGCTCACAGCGTAGGCTGCTTGGAAGCTGGCTTTAAAGAAGGCTGGACTGATTGGTGTAATGATTGCTGCTCCTTTTTTTTTTTTAAATAACCACATCTGAAACCAAATAAACTGAGAGGGCAAATCTGGGATCAAAACTACGAACCACATCTTAATGATTTCCAAAACCTGTTTAAAAGCTTTGAGTCTGAGGGTTAGTAAACCGAGATTAATAAGGCATTCAGCTTCTGAAAATAGCACTTTCTTTATTGTGGAACAAACTGCATATTATGTGCAGAACAGTGAATTTGTAAATATGTAAAATCATAAACATTGATTGTGTACAATTGAACAACGTTACGGAGAAATGCAATTGCTTCCTGCCCTTTTAAGAAACATACTAGCTGATTACCAAGGAATGCTGTAATGAAAGAATTTATGAAATAATGTGATCACAGGAAATCTATCTGTAAATCTATTGCAGCCAGGATACCAGCTGATGGAAGTGATCTGTTGACCAAGTCTTTTCCTCAACATTGCAAACAGTATAACTTTAAGAAACTTGAAAACAGGACAATCTGTTTAACAACTGTGTTTATTGTCCAACATATGTACGCTACTGGGTGTCAAAAACAGATGACAGGCCAAGGGACAGGAGAGTATGGAAGCCTGGAGATGGAATGGAAAATGGGTAAAGATGAGTGTGTTGCTGTATTTAGTCATCTGAAACTGGGTCCAGAATGGACAGACATAGGGCTGACCCAATCCAAAGGCAAACTGAGACTATTCTCCCAGGTTACAGGGTGTGGGTGAATCCACTTCCAGATGTGGAAGCAAATTCCATTGATATCCAAGGGATTTACTGTTGATTTTAATAATCTTTTAAATGTTTTTAACTATCTGTTTTTATCAATAATTTCAATATTTTATATTATATTTTTGTACACTGCTTAGAGATTTTCTTACGATAAGTGGTATGTAAATTTTATTAAATAAAGGATATTTTGTTCTACCAGCTTCACTCTGGCACCTTTAACAGCTGATTGACATGCAGAAATTAAACAGATGATGTTTTGCCCAGTAACAGATGGCAGCACCTATCTTTAGAATAAGGCAGCAATCCTCTGCACAATTTCACACATTAAAATCAGTTGACTGCAGCCCTCTGTCTACTTAATCTGAGAGCAAGCCTCGCTGAACTCAAATCAGATTTACTGCTGAACAGGCAAGTATGGGTTTGCACTGCAAATTGAATCTATGGCTATAAGAAGAAAGAGGAGAATTGCTGGTAACTGAGAAACAGACAGGCAAGTCTCTTTAAACTAAACAGAAATCTCCAAATGAGTGAAATCTAATGAATATGCACATGTGAAACATGAGGAGACACTGGGTGCATTGGGCTTTGGTTATTCTTTGAAGGGTTCTACCACCCTATTTGCCCAATCTGATCTCCATCTCACTCCACCATTGCGTCAGGCAACCATAGAATGAGCACCATATAGGAGTTCCATCCCAATTGCAATATCCAGCTTTGTTGAAAGGTGCCCCTTCAGTTAAAGGGTCTCATGCTGCTCTAGGAGTCTTTTACTGCAACAAAGCAAGGGAAATTCTGTTTGTATTGGAGCTTCCACAGTGGAGTCCTATCTCTTCTCAGTCTCCTCTATTCCAGACTAAACGCATCCAGCTCCCTCACCTTTTCCTCGTAAGGCTTGGTTTCCAGACCCTTGATCATCTTGGTTGCCCTCCTCTGTACACATTCCAGCTTGTCAAGATCCTTCTTAAACTGAGGCACCCAGAACTGCACACAGTTTTCTAGGTGTGGTATGACCAAGGCAGAATAGAGTACAGTGGTACCTCTGGTTGCGAATGGGATCCGTTCCGGAGGCCTGTTCGCAACCTGAAAAGAGCGCAACCAGAAGCGCTGTATCTGCGCAGGTGTGCAGCATGATTTGGCGCTTCTGCGCTTCGTGAGTTAGCGCTTCTGCGCAAGCGGCAAAACCTGGAAGTAACCCTTTCCGGTACTTCCAGGTCCCCGCAGGACGCAAACTGAAAAGACGTAACCTGAAGCGTCCGTAACATGAGGTATGACTGTAGTACTATGGCTTCGCTTGATCTGGACACTATACTTCTGTTGATGCAGCCTAGATTAGCATTCACTTTCTTTTGCTGCTGCATCGCACATCATCACACTGTTGACTCATGTTAAGCAGAAGTCTTATGCTAGCAGGATCTTATCAGAGGAAGTCAAATAAGTGTAGGGAGGGGAGGAAGCAAATCCTTGAAAGATTCTCCTGTTCCCCCCAAGGCTTGCTCATCCCTCCTAATTGGTCTGGGGTCCCACTGATTCTGCTAAGGCTATAGGTTTGGCTATAGTGCTCCTATACCTAAGGCTATGCTTAGATGCCCATTTGAAGGCATGTTTAGCAGCTTCAGCTACTGTGCCAGTTTATTGTTTATTTCTTTCTTTAAAAATATGCTTTGCCTTTTTAAAAAAGAAAAAAAGCATACTCAAGGAAGCTTGCCATCAACTGTCTCGACAACATTTGTTGATGCAGCCTAGAATAGCATTAGCCTTTTTTGCTGCTGCAACACACTGTTGACGCATATTAAGCTTGCAGTCGACTAAGACCCCTAGTTCCTTTTCACATACTACTGGCAGTCCAGGTGTGCCCCATCTTATATTTGTGCAGCTGGTTCTTCCTGACTAAGTGTAGAACCTTGCATTTGTCCCTATTGAAATTAATTTTCTTAGTTTTGGGCCAGTTTTCCAAGGCAGTCATCTCGCAGCTCAAGGCAGCTCTCACTTGTTGCTTAAAGGTAAAAGTAAAGGGACAGGTTCTGTACTTAGGGGTCTTAGTTGACCACAAGCTTAATATGCATCAACAGTGTGTTGATGCAGCAGCAAAAAAGGCTAATGCAAACATCCCCTATATAGCCATAGGAATCATAGAATCATAGCTCTGAAGAGTTGGAAGGGACCACGAGTCACCTAATCCAAGCCCCTGCAATGCAGGAAGCTTTTGTCCAAAGCGGGGCTCGAACCCACAACTCTGAGATTAACAGCTTCATGTTCTCTGGACTGAGCTGCCCCAGCTGTAAAGGGGCGAAAGAACCAGCAAGGGGGGGGGATGCACCTGTCCAAACACCGAGGAGGCGGGTCTTATAGCGTCAGGCTTAAGAGAGTCTCTCAATGAGGGTTTTTACCCCAGACGTTCGGTTCCCAATTAACAGAACTTAACGTCCTCCATATGCGGGGCAGGAGGGCTGGAAGCACCTTTAACCTAGTGAATAAACAATGGGGTCCTTTAGCTGCCCATTGTGTCGCGAGGCTTTTAAATGCGCAAGGCTAGCTTTCCCTGCCCTTTGTTTGCATGTGTGAGTGGAAATTTGTTATGACCCTCATGGTCCCTTCCAGCTCCACAATACTATGAATTTATTATCAGCATAATTTCAAAGCCCAAAAGGGAACTTTGTTCCACAGGAGCTTCTTCTCCTTTCCCCTCATGCAACGGTGTCCGGGAGCAAAAAGAAGGCAGGGCTCCTGAGAATACGAGAGTGCGAATTCCTGTCACCCTCATTCCCGGGTGTGGAAAATGCTTGTCGCTATTCTATTCAATATGTTGTTGTTGTTGAGTCATTTAGTCATGTCCGACTCTTCGTGACCCCATGGACCAGAGCACGCCAGGCACTCCTGCCTTCCACTGCCTCCCGCAGTTTGGTCAAACTCATGTTGGTAGCTTCGAGAACACTGTCCAACCACCTCGTCCTCTGTCGTCCCCTTCTCCTTGTGCCCTCCATCTTTCCCAACATCAGGGTCTTTTCCAGGGAGTCTTCTCTTCTCATGAGGTGGCCAAAGTATTGGAGCCTCAGCTTCAGGATCTGTCCTTCCAGTGAGCACTCAGGGCTGATTTTCTTCAGCATGGATACGTTTGATCTTCTTGAAGTCCATGGGACTCTCAAGAGTCTCCTCCAGCACCACAATTCAAAAGGATCAATTCTTTGGCAGTCAGCCTTCTTAATGGTCCAGCTCTCACTTCCATACATCACTACTGGGAAAACCATAGCTTTAACTATACGGACCTTTGTTGGCAAAGTGATGTCTCTGCTTTTTAAGATGCTGTCTAGGTTTGTCATTGCTTTTCTCCCAAGAAGCAGGCGTCTTTGAATTTCACGACTACTGTCACCATCTGCAGTGATCATGGAGCCCAAGAAAGTAAAATCTCTCACTGCCTCCATTTCTTCCCCTTCTATTTGCCAGGAGGTGATGGGACCAGTGGCCATGATCTTCGTTTTTTTGATGTTGAACTTCAATATACAGTACTGTAAAACACTTGGAAACAACAACGACTGGAACTGGGGAGCTGGAATTCTGTAGCGCACACGACTGGTTTTTGCCTGTACCTCTACGTCGGCTTTCCGTTTCCTCATAGGAGCGCGTGAGAGAGAATCTCTACCTCCGAAGGGCCGGCCGGCGCGCACGCGCATTGGCCGGCCGCCCTCCCATGCTCTGTGTTTACATTCGAGGGCTGCCGGGCGGGCGAGGGGGCGATACTTCCGGCCCTCAGGTGGCCGCGTGCCTTTCCCTTGACGTCTGAGGGTGAGTGGGTCGGTTTCACCTGTGGGTGCGGTGAGGTTGGGGGTGGGTCTCCTCCTGGCCCCGCGGCGGCGGCGGCGGGTTCTTCAGGCTGCTGTGCCGAAATTGTGCCTCCGGTGCGCAGGGTTGGATCCTGCTCGCGGGGGTTCCCATGGCTACCTGGCTGGATGCTGAGAGGGCAGGATGGTGCGCTAGGTCAGCGTCCTTGCGCTCGTTTTCAAGAGCAGGGAAGATTTCCAGGTGCACCGACCATGGGCGTAGGCGGGGGGGGGGGGACAGGGAGGGGAGCTGCCCCCCTAAAAATCAATTAAAAATCAATAAAAATACTTAACTAACGAGGTTCTGCCCCCCCAACATAAAGCCTGCCCCCCTCCCCAACAAAAATCCTGGCTACGCCCATGGCACGGAAGGCTACTGGATTGGAGGTTGGAAATTTTGGGGGCTTACCAGGCACCCCCAAACTTGGCCCTCCAGCTGTTTTTGGACTACAGTTCCCATCATCCCTGACCACTGGTGCGGTTAGCTAGGGGTGATGGGAGTTGTAGTCCCAAAACAGCTGGAGGGCCAAGTTTGGGGATGCCTGGCTTAGCCCCTTCCTGTGCTTCCATCATAGCTGGTCTTGCTCAAAACAAGGCTTTGCAGCTTAATTCCTATGCTTTTGATTCTGCGGTGGGGTGCTGTTGCCGCAGGGCACGATCCATCTATGAGCACCCATCAAGTTAAGAACATGATGGAACACAAGCCAAAGGAGAGCAATCTCCCAGAAACAAGAGCTTCACAGACACTGCGCCTCAGTGTCTGCAGCTTTCAGATACTGCTTGTCCAACGCTGCGCCCAAATCGAACACAGCCTCTCCCGACTCGGATGTTTTGCTCCTGATCGCATAATAACCAGTTCTGTGTGGGTCGAGGGTTCAAATCTATAATTCTGCCCGAATGTACGTGGTAATTTAGATTTAGATTTTCCCATCGTAACATTATTGAAAACTGATCACGCATCTGAAAGTGCAAGGTTGAAATAATTTTGATCGTCACAATTGATAATTAAAACTTGTTAAGCAGAATTAAGTTCAGGAACCAAAAAGTCATATTGGAAAATACGAGTTTCAAGTCCTCTGGCCCCAAAATGGCAACTGGGCATTCCATTTTGGCAACTGTAACCCTGGTTTAAGGAGCCATTTGGTGCCTCGCTTATATATCTGAGTTTGTGACACTGCTGTGTGTAATGCATATTCTATATTATCCTACATATGTCATTTATTTTTATTAACCTCTTAGTTGAAATTATTTTTTCCCTTTTTTGTGTTCAGATCAGTTGTGTATACAGATACAGAGACTCCTGTTTCAAGTTTTTCAGTATGTTTATATTATGGCTGTAGTCATATCAGTCTTGTTTCTTAGAAGTAAATTCAGCTGAAATTAGTTGAAGTTGCTCTCAGGTTGACTAAATGCGTTGAGACAGTCATATGCTGTTGTTTATAGTCATGTGATTGCTTGCAATGTAGGTCAAAATCAATGCGAAATATGTTGAAAACATGGAACTTGCATTTCATTACGGAACTTCCTCACTATTGCATGACTTCCTTCTTGGCTTTCAACACAAAGTCCACTGGAACTGCTTTGCTTGCGTGAGAATATGCCTTTGAAAAGCATTGACATTGATTTCCTTCTGCTTTCCTCAATGCTTCATGCATTTGTTGGTGTTATAACATGGAAACATTATTTAAAGTAGCATTTTCGTTTTCTGTTATGCTTTTTATTTATTGGCTGATGTTGCTATTATAAATTGATGACTCTCATCCTACCACCAATTTCATGTACAGTCATACCTCATGTTACGGCAGCTTCAGGTTTCGGGTTGCCGACCACAGGAAACCCGGAAGTACCAGAACGGGTTACTTCTGGGTTTCGCTGCATGCGCAGAAGTGCTGAATCGTGCTTCGCGCTTACGCAGAAGCGCCAAATTGCACTGGCACCGGCGCAGACGCGGCGCTTCAGGATGCGAACACTGCGGGTTGCGGACGTGCCTCCATCACGGATTACGTCCGCAACCCGAGGTTCCACTGTATGAGCAGAAGCATTGCATGGTTTGTCTCAGAGTTATTCTGCTAGCTGTGCAATCATCTCTCGGTAAGGCTTACTCCAAGTAAGTGTGGATTCTTGGCCCTTATAAAAATGTTGAAATGCTACTTTCTACATAAGGAGTTATAGTGGAGATCAACTCTTCTTTTGTATTACCACAATCCTAAGCATGTTTACTTGGATGCACTTCCTACTGTTTCCGTATTTAATCTCCTATTCTGATACCGGTATGTGATGATATAGCATCAATTTCACTAGTGCTAAATATGGGATGCTGGTGGCGCTGTGGGTTAAACCACAGAGCCTAGGACTTGCTGATCAGAAGGTTGGCGGTTCGAACCCCCGCGACGGGGTGAGCTCCTGTTGCTCAGTCCCTGCTCCTGCCCACCTAGCAGTTCGAAAGCACGTCAAAGTGCAAGTAGATAAATAGGTACCGCTCCGGCAGGAAGGTAAACGGCATTTCCGTGCACTGCTCTGGTTCGCCAGAAGCGGCTTCGTCATGCTGGCCATATGACCCAGAAGCTGTAAGACCGGCTCCCTCGGCCAATAAACTGAGATGAGCACCGCAACCCCAGAGTCGGCCACGACTGGACCTAATGGTCAGGGGTCCCTTTACCTTTAAATATGGTACCTCTGTTGTATATATTACTGACAGATGTTTTATATGAATCCTGCTATGCTCACTCTCTGCTTTGTTCAAACTCTAGGTTTTAGGTATCGGTCATGTGACAGTTGGGGTCGCCATGTCTGCTCTGTGTCCTCCTCCTTCTCCTGCTGTTGCCAAGACTGAGATTGCCTTGAGTGGAGAGTCCCCATTGCTGGCTGCTACTTTTGCCTACTGGGACAATATTCTTGGTCCCAGGGTCAGGCACATCTGGGCCCCCAAAACAGACCAGCAGCTTCTCAGTGATGGAGAAATAACATTTCTTGCAAACCATACTCTGAATGGGGAAATACTTCGTAATGCAGAAAGTGGTGCAATAGATGTGAAGTTTTTTGTTTTGGCTGAGAAAGGAGTCATTATCGTGTCCTTAATCTTTGATGGGAATTGGAACGGGGACAGAAGTACGTATGGACTATCGATAATCCTTCCGCAAAGTGAGCTTGGCTTCTACCTTCCCCTTCACAGAGTATGTGTCGACAGACTGACACATATTATAAGAAAAGGACGGATATGGATGCATAAGGTAGGATACTTCTTCATGGTAACCACTTTTAAGTCTGGAGCCTTGTGATTAGCTAAGCATAATACTTGCCAGATGGTGATCTAGCCAAATAAATTCAAAATCTTCCTTCTCCTGCTCTTGACTTTGGGAGCCCTGACACTCTCATCCATGCCTACACAAGAGTAAGCCTTTTCCTTGCACACACAAAGCTTCTTTGTCCTATCTGCGAGGTGCAATTCCCATGGAACTTTAACAAGACCTACAACAACACAAGAACAATCTTCATTTTTTTATAGTGTGTTATTTTTACTTAGTAAAATACCTGTACGACTTTTCCATACGCTGCTCAAGACTTTGATGCCCATGTGTATTTCTTTATTTCAGTTATTTAAATAGTTATCAACCACACTTTCATGGAAAAATAACAAGGTGGTCTATTCTCATGCACCCTTCTTGATCATTGCCTGCAAAAGAAATACACAGTGCACAAGGCTTTACTTTGAAAAATATCCAGGGCATTGGTCTTTCCAAGAAGTATACAGTGGTGCCCTGCAAGACGAATGCCTCGCAAGACGGAAAACTCGCTAGACGAAAGAGTTTTCCGTTTTGGAGGTGCCTCGCAAAACGAATCTGCTATGGGCTTGCTTCGCAAGACGAAAATGTCTTGCAAGTTACTGGGTTTTTTTCCCCCTTTTCACCCTCTTTTTCTAAGTCGCTAAGCCGCTTATCTGCTTATCCGATAAGCTGATAAGCTGCTAAAAGCCGCTAAAAGCCGCTAAAAGCCGCTAATAGCGCTAATCCGCTAATCCGTCAATGGGCTTGCTTCGCAAGACGAAAAAACCGCTAGACGAAGAGACTCCCAGAACGGATTATTTTCGTCTTGCGAGGCACCACTGTAATCTTTCCAGTTCATTTTAGAATGGGACACTTGAGCTTTTTATTGGAAGAATCTTATGATCTGAAGTGCAGCTGTGTGGAAGTAAGTCACTCAAATCAGACGTTTTTCTCTTTTTTGTTTGTTGGACCCTACTCAACTACAGAGCTGCTCAAGGCAGCATACATATGTGGTGGTATTATCCCATTTTACCTCACAAGAACTCAATGGACTAGGCTAGGCTGAAATCATCTGGGGAGACTGAGGCTGCCCACTGAGATCATGGCTGAACACAGATCTTCTTTTAGCCTGTTTAGAATTGAATGTGATTTTGTTTTGACTAAGATACTGCAGCTTAGTTGTGTTGTTGTGAATCTGATGTCTTGTTATAGATCGCTGGCTGTACGGTGTATGGGTTAAAACATGTACACATATGTACTAGAACCTTTCTTTTAAAAATAACAATTTCCCCCCATGCCTAGGAAAGGCAAGAACACATTCAGAAGGCTGTCCTGGAGGGCACAGAGAGAATGGAAGACCAGGTAAGAATGATGAAAGCGGAGAGACTCTGCGCACATTTCAATATTGGCACTTCATGTCCCATCAATTTCAAGTGGAAGGATTACAAGTGTTCTTGCTCCTTTCCCATTCATCTGTAGAAGCTGCTACTGCGGGTTCCTCTGGGTATTGTGAACGTTTTCTATAAAAGAATGATTTCCATGAAGATGGAATAGAAACACTGAGCAAACTGAAAAACATATGCCAACTCCATGCCATTGTGGAGCGAAGTAGAATTCTGAGTGGTATTTTATTCTCTTTGTACACAGGCCATCTAAATGAAGAGTGTTTTTTTTTAAAAGTGGTGACTTCTTCAGTTTATTTGTACCATCAACCTCTTGTCAAAACAGAAGATCTTACTAGATCATTGGTTTATCAGGCAAAAGAACTGGCAGTGCATGTGTTTTGGGTTGCAGCTGGCTGGGAGAGGGTTTATTATACAGCAGGGTTGGGGAACATCAAGCCCAGAAACCAAATGTGGTCCTCCAGGCATCTTTGTCTAGCCCTTGGGACTTTCTCCAACCACCACCCCTCCCCAACTCACACTTCTCACTGGCTGTGCTTCACACCCTCCTAAAATGCTTTTGCCTGGCTGGAATATTTCCTTGAATTCTGATGGCACCTTTCTGTTGCCTTCATGGAGGATAGAAGGGTATGTGTGAATGTGTACAGAAACGAGCTTGAACAAAGGTAACATTTACTGTCACTGTTCCACCCACATTTGCCTCTGGCTGCACCCACCACGGGGATATGGCCCCCAAAAAGTTGTTCAGTAGGGAATGTGGCCCTCGGGTCAAAAAAGGTTCCCCATCCCTGTTGTAGATGACTTTAGGGAAACGGTTCTTAACAAGGAATGAAACCACAAGTATTTTCTCTTTATCAACTCTAGCAATACATTAACTTATTCATTTTTCTCTGTCCTATATCTGCCCAGGCTCTTGAATTTTATTTAACCAAGTAGTCTAGCACAAGAGCTTAGAAACTCAGTTTTAAAATTGCATTCAGTTCAAAAATTATATCCATGGTTTACTAGGTAATTTTTCTGTTAGGTTGGAACAAATCTGGAAAATAAAGCATTGAATCAAACTTAAGTTATATTCTAAGCAGACTCATTAAAATCAATGGGTTCAACTAACTGACTTGACCCACTGGAGCAGATTTTGGGGACGTGGGAAGATATTGGGTTGGGTGGAAGGTGAAGTCCTGTCACACAAGCAGATGTCTACTTACATAACATTGGATTGTTTTACTAGTTTATTGTTATTCTTTCCTCTCGAAAAAATGTTCACCCTATTCAGGTTCTGTTCTTTAAGTACACACTCTGCTTTTTATTTCACAAAACATTATTTATTGCACAGGGCCAGAGCATCATTCCAATGCTGACAGGGGAAGTTATTCCTGTAATGGAGCTCCTTTCATCTATGAAATCACACAGCGTGCCAGAAGAAATAGATGTAAGTCTTACTGTTAGCTGCTTCATGAAAAGAAGCAGCTCTTCCCCTTTCTTTGAAGTGCCTTTAATAAAAAGAATTTCAGCTCATTAGTCAATGGATTTCTAGCTTTGGGGGGTTTTTTTGGCCAGTACAGTACAGAATTTATACCAGGGTACATTTATTTGTATGCCAACCTTTCAAGAGTTAAAAGCTTGCTTAAGACTACTTACAACATGAAAAAATACATAATTAACAAAAGTAGTCTTAAACAAAAACATTGAGAAGCACACAATCAAATTGAACTATAAATCATAGTAAGATCCATAATAAAGATACCAAATATTAAAATCAATAACAGCAACAGCAACGCCCCCCCCCCGCAAACCTCTAAACAACACCCCAGCTCAAGAATCTGTTCAGCATTCTCAGCTTTTGTAGCTGGAGTCAGTCCAGGCCCTGCAAGGCAAACAGCAGATCTTCCAGGACCTGCAGCCAAGGGCACATCTCACAGACATCACAGCACTTTTTAAACTCTACTGGACTAAATTGCATGTGGTCTGGTCTGTACGTAGCTCTTTAAAGTGCAAAAAATTATCACAATTGTGATTCATTCCACAGGTGTTTTTTAAAAAATCTAGGGAGAGTTCAAAGGTAGGATCTTTTTAGATCCTAGGCATTCTTTTACTGGATCATTAATGCATCAGCAAAACAAATATACTGATACAGCGGTGGGTGTGGAGCTTGTAAAGCTGGCGGTGGGGGATTGTACAGGCAAAGCAATGAACATTTAGTTCCAAAGTCACTCTCTTCCTTGCTTGAATTGTGAGAAAGGATTGGCGCTTGTGTCCACGCAGGACCCTGGATGATAAAGGTCCTTTGGAATAAGATGTAGGATAGAAAATAAATGAATAAATGAAATGTATTAAAATTCTGACTTCGTCTACCTCCTTATTTTGTATAAATCTCAGTATTTTTTTTGCATTAAAATAGGATCGGTTCCTGGGCTGTTTGTGATTTGTAGCGTATACACCATGACTAATCTTCCTCATTGTGCTTTTATCACATTCCAGATAAGTGACACGGTGCTTAGCGATGATGACATTGGAGACAGCTGTCACGAAGGTTTCCTTCTTAAGTATGATCATTTGCTTTTGGGAAAGTACTTACTTCTAAAGCAGAGATTTGGGGAAAGAGGGAGGCGATTGGTGACTGGATGAGTGGGAAAGAAAAAATCGTTTTTATTTTTTGGTAGGTTTTTTGCCTATAAGTAAGCCTCTTTTCAGGGACGCATGTGGCACTGTGGTCTAAACCACAGAGCCTAAGGCTTGCCGATCAGAAGGTTGGCGGTTCGAATCCCCGCGACGGGTTCAGCTCCCGTTGTTCGGTCCCTGCTCCTGCCAACCTAGCAGTTCAAAAGCACGTCAAAGTGCAAGTAGATAAATAGGTACCGCTCCGGCGGGAAGGTAAACGGCATTTCCGTGCGCTGCTCTGGTTCACCAGAAGTGGCTTAGTCATGCTGGCCACATGACCTGGAAGCTGTCTGCGGACAAACGCTGGCTCCCTCGGCCTATAGAGCGAGATGAGCACACAACCCCAGAGTCAGTCACGACTCCTATCCTATAATGATTACTGCAGAGTAAAACAAGATGTTCACATAGGAGTTTAAGGCAATTCATACACTTACACAAAAATGTGAGTAGCTATTAAATGGTATCCTTTAATTTTGTTTTGTTTTGCAAATTTTGTCTGAAGTCTAGATTTGTAGTAATTTAATTTCAGGTGGCTGAACTAACCATATAGTTCTGGCCCTTGGTGTTTGATTTTAGTACAGACTACACACCACATTTGGAAACGTTAGTATCATTGACAATAAAACGCTTTGCAAAGTCTTTTTAGCTGCTGCATGTAAGCTTATTGTGAAGTATTTCATATTATTTTGTATGCCTCTCTTTTCAATTTGCAGAGCCATCAGTTCACACTTGCAGACCTGTGGCTGCTCGGTAGTTATAGGAAGCAGTGCAGAAAAAGTTAATAAAGTAAGCACCTCCTATCTTATAAAGGTTAGATTACCAGGCAGAACAATATGCTGCCAGAAATCATAGGCGTTAGTCCTTTGATTTTATATACAGTATTACCTGTAAAGGGCGGGGGGAGGGATTATTCTAGCAACAAAATATGAAGCTTGTGTACTTAGAAAATGACAATATAACTGGCAAACAGTCATTTGGGTTCCTGTAATTGGCAAGTAGCAACTACCCAGTTACTATATCATATAACAATTTTCATTTGCAAGTTTTCTCTTTGCTAAATTTCACTGCCTATATAAGTATTTTTACAGTATTTTTGTATTACAGATAGTACGGACGCTGTGCCTCTTTCTTACTTCAGCAGAGCGAAAGTGTTCTAGGCTGTGTAGAAATGAAACTTCCTTTAAGTATGAATCGGGGCTTTTTGTGCAAGGATTACTGAAGGTGAGGTCTGATTTGCTCAACTACATTTTGTCAGGAGCCAGTAACTTTAGTCATTCGTTTTCTAATCAAATGAAGTATTATTGTGCTTAGATTAATCAATTATTTATTTTGTTAGCATCTTTATTAATGTCCTTTAAAATTAAAATACAGGTTTCTGGTAGGTTTTTCCTTTAAGTGAGGAGGTTGGAAGCATTTATCCAGCAGGACAAAGGAAGCATAGATTAAACTGCTAATTTGCATTAACACAACTACTATTTTTTAAGGGAAATGTACTTTCCTGTCTGTTCTTCTCTTGCTATGAAGTATAAAGATAAATCAACATCTTTCCTTTTCTTCTCACACCTAAATGTGTCACATAGTGGAAACTGGAGAAATCTTTTTCTGAAAGTGATACTGGTAATTCAGTAGAAATGTTTAATGTTAAAAAATAGGTTGGAGTTTTTTTATTAAAAAAAATGGCAGTCCAAACTGGACCTTTAAAACTTTAAAAAACTTAAAAAGCAATAATTGCCCAAAAAAACCATCCCCAGGGTGGAGGAAAGAAAACTGGTAACAATAGTGAACAAAACTACAAACTGCAGTTGTGTTTCCCGCTCTAACACAGTCATAAATTTCATTTATGAATCACTTCTCAGTAGGCATTGTGAAGTGAATTACAGTATAACATATATAAAAGCAGCTAAAGTAATTGCAAACACAAAAAATTCATTGATTTCAGTGGAATACTTCCTTCTGAGTTTTCTATAAGGGCACTCGCTATCCATAATCTGGAGTCCCCTGTGCATTCGTGGAGCTTCTGTGCATGTTTACTCGTAAGTAAGCCCAAATGTAAGGCTTTAACAGAGTCTACTTTCTGAATGGAGAACATTCAAACTCTTATAATTCAAACCGTAGCAAGTTTATTCGTGTGTTAGCCCCACTAAGCTCAATTAAGCTTTTGTCCACAGACATCAAGGCAGAAATCCTAAACCTGCACCCAAGGGATTAAGTAGCTCAGTTGGTTAGAGCATGGCGCTGGTAATGCCAAGGTTGCAAGTTCGATCCCTGTATGGGACAACTGCGTATTCCTGCATTGCAGGGGGTTGGACTTGATGATCCTCAGGGTCCCTTCCAATGCTACAATTCCAAGATTCCTACTGAATTTGTTGGGACTGTGTATGTGCTAAGAATTGAATTGTAAGGTGCTGAGTGCTGTCCATACAGAACACATCCTCAGTGTGACATATGTATATATCTGTATGTGTGTGTGTGTGTGTGTGTGTGTGAGAGAGAGAGAGAGAGAGAGAGAGAGAGAGAGAATTGTTTAATTTATTGCCATATTGTAACAATAAATCAAAATGTTTCAAATTGTAATCTGGTAGTGCCTTATAGTTTTTGATTCCTCTGACTTTTTCTTTAGTAACTGGACTAATTGTTTTCACTGTGACAGGATGGCACTGGAAGTTTTACGTTGCCTTTCCGTCAAGTGATGTATGCTCCGTATCCTACCACTCACATTGATGTAGATATCAACACCGTGAAACAGATGCCTCCTTGCCACGAACATATCTATAACCAGCGGCGGTACATGAGATCAGAGCTAACAGCTTTCTGGAGAGCAACTTCAGATGAAGAGATGGCTCAGGATACCATTATCCATACAGACGAGAGCTTCACCCCTGATCTGTATGTGTTCCTGTAGAGTCGCAGAATTTCAGATTTTGACACCTATCATGGTTTAAATGCAGTGTCTAGATAACGTTTCGGTTCCGTTTTGCCATCCAGGCAAAATTTCTGCCCTGAAATTAGGACCAAATTACCCAAGCAATATTGAAAGCCGGCAGTCATTTTTTCCCATTTTGCACGGGTGAGATTCTACCTTTTGAATGCGGAGTCTTTTGTTCTCCCCCAAGAATTGTAAAGCAACTGAGCACTTGTTCCCTATGAGTTTCTTAGGATGCTTCCGCAGCTATGAGAATTTTATTTCTGTCTCCACCCAACACTCTTCTGAGATGCCATACTTTGGGAGGCTAACGGCATGAGAAGTAGGATCACCAAAGTGGTTATCCTCTACAAGATTTGGAAGCTTCTTAGCTTTTTTCATAAACTAGCAGCAAGAAGTGATCAGGTAGACTTGTCGCACAATTCATTCAACACTCGGGTCCAGTTTATCCATGCATGTATATGGGATGGCTCCACTGAAAAACACAGGGCTAGATTCAACTAACCAGGTACACTAGCGAAAGCCTGTGCAAGGTCTCCTGCTAGCACACTGGGGCTTTCCCCCACCTCTGCCCCCCTGTGCCTCTCCCAAATCTGCTCAGGAGGATCTGGAGAACCCCCAGTGGCAGAGGAGAGGGTTCCATATAGCAAGCAGAAATGCTTGCACTGATGGAACGATTGCCTTAGCGTGACACTGAGTTCCAACCATGGTGTTTGAGATGTTGGGAGAAGAAGTTCTCTGGTATTCGGTCTGTGATAGCTCATTCATAAACACAAATTAGCACTTGAGGCTGCAGTAATCAAGTCATGAGCCGGTCTTCGTCATGGGTTATCCTTTAATTACAATTGGCACAGTTTAGTCTCATTTTGTATACAAAGTATTGTGCGCTTCTATAAAAGTATTTATATAGAAGAGTTTGCCTGCTATTTTTGCGTGATTTTTTTTTTACTAGCCCCACTTTATATTTTAGATCACATATAAGAACAGTGGGACTTCTGTGTTTTCGAATGCTGTAAGGAATTATCGATTACAGATACCGAATGGTACTTCAACTTTGCATTGTGTATGAAACTCAGCCTATTACTGCCTGCTTCCTCTGTATTTTTACAGGAACGTTTTCCAAGATGTCCTTCACCAAGACACTTTAGTAAAAGCCTTTCTGGATCAGGTAACTGTTCATTCTAATGAGTTAAAACTGATGAGCGATATATCACCTATTTTAATTTTTTTAATGAGTTCCTTTTGTGTAGTTGTAGCCTTAAAAAACACCACTCCAGTGGTTCCATTCTGTAGTATTTTAAAGCGTGATTTCAAAGAAGATGCTCTAATCTAATACTAATGAGATTAATTACCTACTGCCTGCCTTTTCTCTGTATTTGCACTCTAAAGTCAAGTCATGTGGCAATACTGGGAAAGTGCAGGAAAGCTTCAAATATAGTTAAGGGATGTAGGAATAACATGTCTTTGTTCCGTACGCATTTAGCGTTTAGCAGATTAATTGTAGTTGTAATTGTAGTAGCATCAGCAGTTAACAAACCACTGACTTCAGTGAAATCTCTGAAGTTAATTATGGGACTTGGGCCAAAAATTCACTCAAATATTTTATGTTTATTGTTGATACATAAATACGTGCATCTGCATAATCTCTTTCTTTGCAAAAGCTGGTTCCCAGCATTGCCAAACACAAACACAGCAGAACTACAAACATGAGCAAATTTGGTTCTCAATGGCTGAAATTACTAGGGAAGGAAGCAGGTTTAATCCTCGCTCAAATGTGTTTCCTTTTACATTTGCTATAAGTTGTTGCTGTCATTTACCTCCTACAGGTAAAAGTAAAACACTGCACTTGAGAGTGGCTGTTGCAGCAAGAACGAACCACCTCTCCACTCTTTATTTTTATTTACAGAAATCCTATCCCACTCAGCATATAAATATCAGGAATATAAGAAAACCAGTATGATTTTCTAAAACTTGGCCATTCACAAAACGAAACACTACAATAGAAAATTTCAGTATGAAATGCAATCAAAAAATTCAGCAAGGCACATAGCTGGGTCACAGTGCAGGGAAAGCTTGTGTAAATAAACCCTTCTTGAGCAAGGGCCGAAAACAGTACTGTTGGTGCCTGCTTGATATCCAAAGGGAGTAAGTAAATGCCATAAACTAGCTGCAGCAGTGCTTAAAGCCCTGCTCCAAATGGCTAGGAAGTGAACCTAAGGAGTATATGGAGTAGCCAAAAGTGCATCTCCTGAAGACAGTAGTAGCCAGGTAAGTGCATAAGAGAACAGGCAGTCCCTCAAGTAAGCTGGTCCCAAACTGTTTAGAGCTTTGTATACCATTAGCAAAACCTTAAATGTGGCCCAGCAGCATACTGGCAGACAGTGCTGTTTCTTCAGAAACTATGGGTAGCCTGCCCTTACCAATGGTTCCTACAGAAGTGCATAATGTGTGCATGCAGAGCATTGAGATGCACTGCACCCTGCCCCGCCCACCGAGTTCCTGCAAGATCCACGCTTGTCCTCTGTGTAACCAACTCCTATCATAATGTATATTTTACTAGTCTATAAGAGAAGGCAGTGTATGGGGTGAGCCATGCGGGAGAATGCCACTAAACAGAACCCTTTCCCCTCTTAATGTAATGTGTACTGATCTTTTATGTGGCAATTCTTAACAGGTCTTTCATTTGAAACCGGGATTGTCCCTGAGGCGTGTGTTCCTCGCACAGTTCTTGTTAATCCTTCACCGAAAAGCCTTAACCCTAATCAAATATATAGAAGACGATACGTAAGTATAAAGCTAAAGGGAGCAGTGTGTTTTCTTGGCCCAGTTTTCGCTGAAATTATTCCGTTTAACCACACTTTCCCCTTACCATCCCACAGGCAAAAAGGCAAGAAGCCTTTTAAATCGCTCCGTAGCTTGAAGATAGACCTGGACTTGAGGGCAGAGGGTGACCTTAACATAATAATGGCCTTAGCTGAGAAGATCAAGCCCGGATTGCATTCATTTCTGTTTGGCCGCTCTTTCTACACTAGCGTGCAAGAGCACGACGTTCTAATGACTTTTTAAAGGTTTATTTATTTTTATGTGCGTTGGTATCTCTTCACAATGCTTCTCAAAGGTATTGTTTAAAGGGAATATAGCGTTTCTCTTCACAAACACGTGCTGTGGTCCGGTGCAACAGAAGGTGTGGTTTACACTACAACAGTCGTCTTCCCCAGCCCAGTGCCCTTCAGCTGTTGTTGCTGGACTCAGACTGCCATCAGTCCCACCCAACATGGCCTGTGGTCAGGGATGATGGGAGTTGTAGTCTGCCAATGTTTGGAGGGTATCACTGCAGGAAAAGTCAGAGAGGGTGCTGTTTAGACCTGCGCAGCCCAGGTAGGGTGGTTTCTTACTTGCCTTCTGAGCACCATGTGCCACTGCTGATTCCTGAGAGGGGAAGGAAGAAGGCGCAGGAAGCTCAATGTGGTTCGGGTTTGGTAGTAGGAGTGCTGGGTTGGCTCTGCCACCATGCTACTTTGGTCCCCGTGCCTCTCCCTCTCGGGAGCTGGCAACAACATTCTGTGTTTGGAAAGCAGGAGAACAGCCCTTTGCCACCCCACCAGTTGCTACTGGAATCGAGTCAGTTCAACTTAGGCATGCATCAGATGTTCCATTTTGATTACAGGGAGAGTAAACATTGGTGTGGTTTGTTTAAAGGTTAACTTAATGGCATTTTCGAAACCACAAAGTTGAGGACAACTTTTAATGGGTTTTTAAGAGGATATTGGTTTATAATTTTTCTTTGTGTGTGTGGTATTGGGAGACATGTTCCATTTCCTCCTTTCCGTTCAGGGACTGTTGATTGCAAAACAAATGGTCAAACGTAATTTTAGGACTATCGCTTCCAGTGTGTTTGGTAATATGAACAGTGCCATCTGCTTTTTCTCCCTGCCCCCCCCTTACATATCCTTCAAAAGCCAGCAGAAACTTGCAGTGACATCTTAAGCACTTCAACACAGGAATGGAACAGGCAATGAGGCAGTACTTTTAGATGGTGTCATCAAAAGTGCCAAGCAAGACTATTCTGTTGCTAATTATGTCACCCATCATGCATGTTGCACTGTGTTTTGTCAGACATGGTTGCAAGTCAAACAGAGTGCAAATTAGGAAAGGTATGTTTTATGCTGATAGGAGCAATTGCCAAGCTCTTTCTGATGAGCTACTGAGTGAAAGCCATATAAAAATCTCCTGGATCTCCAGTGCTTCTGAGCAGTTTGGGGCGAGGGGACTGGTTAGAGACAAACTTAGTTGGTACCACAACTGAAATAAGGGTAGTAGTGGCAAACTTCTACTTTTCCTCTTCAACTCTAGCATATTTACCTCTCACCTCTCAGCTTCTTCTAAATCGAACAAAGATAAACATGTATTTGCCTGTTTTCCACTGCCTTTCATACCTGTATAATATGGAATATTTATAATGGCTTTAATGTACATGTTTTGCAAAATGCAAAGAGCTGCCATAAAAGTGCATGTCATGTACTTTAAAAGGTTTTTAATGCATGCTGCTGTTTTATAATTTCATTTTTTAATTGTTTGCTAGGTTGGGGTTGTTCCAATACGCTAATACGTTTCTTTAAGTGCAATATTTTGTGTTCATGATTAGGGAAAATTTACTGTCAGAAAGACATCTCTAGGCTGTTATTGAGCATTCCTTATTATGAATTCTTATTTTCTTGGAAACCTGTTCTCCCTTCTCATCTGATGGCTGTTGCCCACATGTGATGGCTCAGATGAAGGGTATCCAATTTAACTTTTGCATCTTGGGAAGTTGTGATTGCCAAACTTTCCCCTGTAGTAAAATGAGCAAGGTGCAGTATCTTATGTGAAGCTAACTGCATACAACAGACTGTCACCCATCATTGGCTTATCACAGCCAGTAATTTAATTTGTAAAGATGTGAAGTTGCCATGTCAAAAGACTAAATAATATTGTGGAGGTATGGGGCCTGACAAAGCAGCTTCTGCTCTTTGGGACGACTGGGATGAGGGCAGTAGAAGCTAGGCAGGAATGAGAAATGCCTCTTAGCTTAGCTCAGTGTAGGTAGCATCCCAGTGAAAGGCCTGAGCACAACTCTGGTAGCCTGTCAATAGCTCTACTCTTGAGATTAAAAGTCCTGTGCAGCCATAACAAGAAGACAGACAACTGACATTTTCCTGTCTTAGGGTTAGTGATAAATTTAGAGGGAATACTGTCAGACCGTGAAGATAATTGTGTTCTTTTCCATAACTTATTTTACAGAGTAATAGTCCTAGGTGTTGGTTTAAAAGCAGCTTAAAAGATTTGAAACTAATATAGCATCCATTTACCTGGGATTTTCTGTATTTTCATGCTGCTACGTCTGTGGATTGCAAGGTGCTTGAAAAATTTCAATAGGAGAATTATTGCTGATATAATCTAGTAATGGGACAAATTCCATTTGCCATTTTAAAAAATACATACTAGGGATAGCAAGCTATATTTTAATGTTGTTGTTGAAGTGGCTTTAGAGTTCTGATGAATAAATACAGGAGATATTGCCACACAGAGAACCCATTATTGAACCATATGCCTAATTGTAGATCGATGCATTTTTGGCAAATAAAACTGGCACTACCAAAATGAAATCTCTGTTGCCTGAAATATATCCTAGTGTCACATTTTCACTATGAAATGTCTAAATGCTAGTAATTTGCTCTGATTTTTTGGTGCACTTTTCCCATGCATGTACTGTACATTATAATAAAACGGATAAATACCTCCATATTTTGTGTTGCACATCTTATTGCTCAGGGTAAGATTAGGCTATTGAAAGCAATATTGCAAGAAGATTCATGTACCAAAAGGTCTTGGCTGCAGTACGCATCGCCTCAGACAGCATCACTATACTTTCTTCCGCACCTGTGTCACATCACCATCCATAGGGACGTAATTGCCATGCAAAACAGCATCAGTTCCTCCCTTTAGCTAATTTACTGGTCCAAGTATTTGTTTCTTATAACATTAGTGCAACTTGCTTTCTCTAGGCTGCAAGTTTGTGCCATTTCCAAACTACTGTATTGGTACTGGGATTTGACCAGAAAACAGCAACCCTGTCAAATATACAGCTTCTTGAACATTGAGGGCAGCCGGGGACAGTGTGGAATAAATAAAATGTGCGTGGATTTTTATTTTTTTTAATGGATTAATATTATTTCTAATTGTTTCTAATATGCATTTTTTAAAAACCGTTGTACTTTAAGTGATCGCACGTGATGTGAACCACTTTGGGCACAATTTTGTGGAAAAGTGGCATACAAATAAGCAGGTGATGATGATATTGCTGGAGCAAGTCCTCTTTTTTAAAACTAAGAACTACTTTTGAAACTGCTCTGTTCTTTTAAATAAAAAACCATCACCGCCATCCTGATGGGAGCGAAGACACAATGTAAGGTCGGGCAGAATGCTGCAAAAAAAAGAGGGAGACCCCTGCGGGTGAAAACACGCCTGCGCAGTAGAGGCCAGCGAACGGACCCAGCGGAATCCCCAAGGAATAAAGAGAAAGGCACGCATGCGCCCCACAATAGGCGGGTTCTGGGTAGTTTTGTTGAGGTATCGAGGCGTGCGGGGGAAGAGACTGGCCAAGAGAGTGGGTTGGAATGCGCGCGCATTCGCTCTCATAGTCCCGCCCGTTCTGCGCAGGCGCCCCAACCTAGTTGCAACCACGTGATTGGGAATAGTTGTTCCTCCTCCTCTCTCGCCCCCCCTCCTCCTCCCCACCCCCCGTCTTCTTACTTGCAGGCCGTTGGAGGAAGGAGAAATTTTAGGCGGGAAAAGCTGCGCCTCCTGCCTCGCGCCCCCGCGGCCTACCGCGCGCCGGGAAGCGCCAGGCGACGGCGGAGGCGAGTGAGTGGCTTTTGCTCTTCTTCGCGGTTCGCTGAGGCAGCAGGGTCCGGGCGGGGCGGGGCGGGGAAGCGGGGCGAGAGGGAGCTGGACGGGGGTGAAGCCCCTCGAGGGAGGAGTGGAGGCGGGGGGATGGGAGAGGCCTCTGGCGGCAGAGCCCCAGGCGGGAAGCTGAGGGGAAAGAGGTTTGACAGAGCCGCGCATCCTGCCAGGGCCCCTTCAGCGTTTCCTCCCTGGCACTTTCCTCCCTCCACCGACATCCCCGCCTCTCTTTTCATCTCTCTTCGTATATTATATAATGCAGTGACTCCACAGAGCCACGAATAAACAATGATCGGCGTTTGTATAACGTGATTTTTTTATTCAAAGCGTTTCGGGCACAATTAATCCGTCTCACAGCAGTTTAATGGGTGAGCTGTGAACTGATGGTAGTTTTGGTGTGGCTTGCAAATGTAAAATCCAGGTGGAGAAAGACAAGGCAGGGGTGTGAACTTAAAATAAAATATTGGGGATGGGGGGCTAGGTAAGCCTTGCCCAGCATGACGAGATGTGCCAAATGCACACCATTTGAATGGCAATGCCCATCAACGCTGGAGGCACCTGGCCCCCTCAAATGTTTTATTGGAGGGGGCTTAAGGGACCTCAGCCCCCAGTACAGTGGTACCTTGGGTTAAGTACTTAATTCGTTCCGGCAGTCCGTACTTAACCTGAAACTGTTTTTAACTTGAAGCACCACTTTAGCTAATGGGCCTGGCACAGCCACGCGATTTCTGTTCTCATCCTGAAGCAAAGTTCTTAACCTGGGGTAATATTTCTGGGTTAGCAGAGTCTGTAACCTGAAGCGTATGTAACCTGAGGTACCACTGTAGTTGGCTCCTACCATCACAGGGATGCGGGTGGCGCTGTGGTCTAAGCCACAGACCTTGGGCTTGCTGATCAGAAGGTCGGCGGTTTGAATCCCTGTGACGGGGTGAGCTCCCGTTGCTCGGTCCCTGCTCCTGCCCACCTAGCAGTTCGAAAGCATGTCAAAGTGCAAGTAGATGAATAGGTCCGGCAGGAAGGTAAACGGCGTCTCCGTGCACTGCTCTGGTTCTCCAGAAGCGGCTTAGTCATGCTGGCCGCATGACCCAGAAGCTGTCTGCGGACAAATGCCGGCTCCCTCGGCCTGTAAAGCGAGATGAGCGCGCAAACCCAGAGTCGTCTGTGACTGGACCTAATGGTCAGGGGTACCTTTACCTTTACCTTTACCATCACAGAATTGTAGAGTTGGAAGGGGTTCCCGCGAGTCATCTAGTCCAATCGTTTTAGAAGGGACACAGCTATAAGGGTTACTGTGAGTGTCTGCACTTCAGAATTTACCAGTACACTGGAAGTTTAAACTGTTCTTAAAAACACCCAGCTTTTCCCAAGTGTCCAAATTGGTTTACACCACCATGTGAGAAGGTGATTTCTAGTGTGCACCTGTGGAAATATATTGGGAAATTGAATATTTTTTATTAGATTGTTATCCTCCAATTGAAGGCAAGGTGTCCAAACAACATCAAAGTTAAAATGCAAACATTTTAACAGTTAAAATGCATTTCAGTAGTATGAGAAATCAAGATATACCGTCTAATGCACCATCAAATCTAATGCACACCTCAATTTTCAGAACCGTGAAACCAAAAAAAGTATTTGCTGGCGAATGTAAATGTGCCATTGAATCTAACGCACACCTTAATTTTTGCAACATAATTGGCCCAAAAAGGTGAGCATTAGATTCGAGTAAATACAGTAGATTTATATTGAATAAAAGTCAAAAGGGCTACTATGTTGCAGTAACTATATATGAACAAAGTATCTCTGTTCAGCATGCAGTGTATATAATATAGTATTTTGTTATGGCCATTCTAGTGTTTATAAAACCGATGGTTTTGTTTATTGCAGAATTGAACTGAGGAAATAATATAGCAATCTTTCCCAGTTTGCATCTGTATTAGACTTGGTTTTAGTTGTTTTCATTTTATTGGTTGTGTGTTTGCCTCCTTGTGCTTCTTTGGGAGGAAGGGCACGCTATAAATTTAATAAGTAAATAAATTACTTTTCCACAAACTTTGAAATTGTTACCTTTCAGCATAGAAATTTTCAAATTCTTTCTGAATTCCTTAATTTGTGAGCCACTACTAAGCTGTGACTGTTTTCAGTGTAAGGCTGATGTTTAGGTCCGCCTGGAAGAAGCGGACCATTTGGATCCCTTCCAGTCAGGATTCAGGCCTCATCATGGGACTGAAACTGCCTTGGTCGCACTGGTTGATGATCTCCGGCGGGCTAGGGACAAAGGTGAGAGCTGTTTCCTAGTTCTGCTGGATCTCTCAGCGGCGTTTGATACCATCGACCATAACATCCTTCTGGACCGTCTTTAGGGGCTGGGAGCTGGGGGCACTGTCATACAGTGGTTCCGCTCCTTCCTCCTGGGCCGTGTTCAGAAAGTGGTGGTGGGGGGATGAGTGTTCAGACCCCTGGGCTCTCACTTGTGGGGTGCCTCAGGGTTCTGTCCTCTCCCCCAAGCTTTTCAACATTTACATGCAGCCGCTGGGAGAGATCATCAGGAGGTTTGGGCTGGGTGTTCATCAGTATGCGGATGATATCCAGCTCTACCTCTCTTTTAAATCAGAACCAGTGAAGGCGGTGAAGGTCCTGTGTGAGTGTCTGGAGGCGGTAGGAGGATGGATGGCTGCTAACAGATTGAGGTTGAATCCTGACAAGACAGAAGTACTGTTTTTGGGGGACAGGAGGCGGGCAGGTGTGGAGGATTCCCTGGTCCTGAATGGGGTAACTGTGCCCCTGAAGGATCAGGTGCGCAGCCTGGGAGTCATTTTAGACTCACAGCTGTCCATGGAGGCACAGGTCAATTCAGTGTCCAGGGCAGCTGTTTACCAGCTCCATTTGGTACGTAGGCTGAGACCCTATCTGCCTGCGGACTGTCTCGCCAGAGTGGTGCATGCTCTGGTTATCTCCCGCTTGGACTACTGCAATGCACTCTACGTGGGGCTACCTTTGAAGGTGACTCGGAAACTACAACTAATCCAGAATGCAGCAGCTAGACTGGTGACTGGGGGTGGCCGCCGAGACCATATAACACCGGTCTTGAAAGACCTACATTGGCTCCCAGTACGTTTCCGAGCACAATTCAAAGTGTTGGTGCTGACCTTTAAAGCCCTAAACGGCCTCGGTCCAGTATACCTGAAGGAGCGTCTCCACCCCCATCGCTCTGCCCGGACGCTGAGGTCCAGTGCCGAGGGCCTTCTGGCGGTTCCCTCATTGCGAGAAGCAAAGCTACAGGGAACCAGGCAGAGGGCCTTCTTGGTAGTGGCGCCCACCCTGTGGAACGCCCTTCCAGCAGATGTCAAAGCAATAAACAACTACCTGACATTCAGAAGACATCTTAAGGCAGCCCTGTTCAGGGAAGTTTTTAACGTGTGATATTTTACTGTATTTTTGGTTTCTATGGAAGCTGCCCAGAGTGGCTGGGGAGGCCCAGCCAGATGGGCGGGGTATAAATAATAAATTATTATTATTATTATTATTATTATTTAGGAAACACTGCTCTAGAAAGTAATCCAATGTTTTTGGAAGATGAGAAAGTCAGAGCTGGTGGCCTATAATTTTGGTCAATAAACAGGGCAGCTCTTTTTTCTAACTGGTGTTATTTCTAACTCCTACACACTCCCATCAGGCTATTGGCGTGATCACAAAAGTTCTTGTTTTCCTTCTCCCAGCCAGCAGATCCTTCACCAATCTTTGTTGGATATTGCTGATGCAAAACTGTAATTAGGGAGAGAGGAAAGAATGTTCAGGAATCACTTAAAAAAAGGTGTGTGTTCTCTACTAAAAGATCTGTGTAATAGAATAAACAAGTGTTTCAAGCTAGATTTCTTTTCATTCAGAATTCCTCATGATACGCCTTTTCCGTTTACCAGACAAAATTCTATGTTCCTAAGAATTCATAATGGAAACACACAAGTTTCACTTCTCATTTGGTGTATGGTTAATGTGAAAACTTGTTCCAGTAGATTGTTAGAAGATTAGAAAGGATTTTTATCTCTTCTAGGATGCTGGGCACATGTGGCATGCAGAAATGTCACCAAGAGGCTCTGAAAAAGAATCGTGTTTCCCTAGCAAAGCAGCTAGTTTTGAAGGAACTGATGGAACACCTCATAGAAAAGGATGTGATCACTGAAGCAATGATGGAGATGATACAGGTACAATTACTCCTGTCAGCAACTGGAATTAAAAGTTTAATTATCCAAAATTATCGTTGCTGTTTATGCTTCTAAGTGCCGCAATTATTCCTGCGTGTCAAATGAGATCAGTAGTATTCGGCAGCAAATAACTAGATAAAACAAATGTCATAGACTAAGACTGGTAATTAGGGATGGGTAGATCTATCTATTTCCAGTCCATTTCCCATGTGTACATTTAGAAGTCCATTCTGTCTGCAATTTTCTTTTCAATTCAGTTTTTGGTACGCATCTTAAGTATGCATACTTTATATGCCTTGTGCTATGTTTTTGAAACGGAAAACCATACCACAAAATCGGAGAAGTGCAAAAACCAACCCCCGTACAGTGGTGCCCCGCAAGACGAATGCCTCGCAAGACGGAAAAACCGCTAGACGAAAGGGTTTTCCGTTCTGAAGTTGCTTCGCAGGACGAATTCCCCTATGGGCTTGCTTCGCAAGACGAAAATACCTTGCGAGTCTTGAGATTTTTTTCTCGCTTTTCCCCTTTATCTAATCTGCTAAGCCTTTAATAGCCTTTAATAGCCTTTTAGCAGCTAATCCCTAAGCCTTTAAGCCTTTAATAGCCGCTATAGCGCTAATAGCGCTAATCCGTCAATGGGCTTGCTTCGCAAGACGAAAAAACCGCTAGACGAAGACTCTCGCAGAACGGATTAATTTCGTCTTGCGAGGCACCACTGTATTATTCCAAGTGAAATCAGGGTAGTTTGCTTAACAATATGGACTCAGCTTCTTATGTGGTAAGAACTGCCTGAAAGTGACCTTTTTAAGATGGAAAAGGGTTAGTACCCTCTGTTTTCAGACCCAGTGTGCTCCAGAAGACTAAGGTAGCCCTTCTAAGAAAAATATATAGGGTAGGCTAATAACTTTCAAGGACATTTGTGAGGCTGGGCTAAAGAGCAAGAGAATGAACAGAAATGAGGCGCTTGGCTAAGTTCTAAAAGCCCATGCTGGCATAAGTAATCAAACAGCTATTGATCCAAGCACCCCTTTTGTCACTTATGTCTCAGTAGCTCCTAAAAGTTAACTTTTTAAAAACAAGTGTTTGCATTACAGAGCATCATGCCTCTTAAAACACTGGGTGCTATTGAAGTATTCCCATTCTATCATCATCTCTGTTTGCAGGAGTCCAGCTGTGTTGTTGGATGATGCAGACTTAACCAATAAATTGAAATAATGTAGAATGCTGGAAAGGGAAATAATTTTTCCAGTTCGCAAGCTGTGAGGCAGACTTTTCCAGTAAATCACAAACATTTTTATTTCTATGTATTTCTAAAGAACCAATATTTTAATATAAATGTATGTTAAACTATCAAGGGGATGCCAACTTCTTTGTGTGTGAATCTGTGTTAGAAACTGAGATATGAAAGCTAGGAGCTAAATGGCACCTTAAACCTAGGTTATGGGCACAATTTATTTAGACACACTTTTTTATAACAAGAATACAAAGCTGACTGAATGAACCACAGCTAAAATCTTATGTTCATTTTTCATATGGTCTAGTCCTCATCCGAAGACTGCAAAAAATAAAGCCATGCTTCCCCTGTCCACCCCCATAATATTCTTAAGAGGATCGCTTCTCCAGTCTTCAGAGTGTGGCTGGAAGTGGGAAGGCAGAAGAAGGTCCTCCTTTCTGTCCACTGTGCAGTTTTAATCTGAAATCATAGGCACAGTACTGTACTACGCCCAGAGCTCAGAAATTGCTTGTGCTAATGAAATTCTCTGTCGCAAAATGTGCCTAGAACAATGGGAGTTTCGAACACTGGTGTGAATAAATGTGTAAAGTGTGATTGTCTGATTCACCCTGAGTAACATTATATAGGGGTTTTTTTTAGCAGCTGCTCTGTGTTTTGTGTAACATGACTTGGCCAGGCGTTATGTCTTGGGTATGGCGGATATATTCAAAGATCCATATAACCAAACCAGTCCTCTTGTGAGAACCTCCCAAAGCCCAGTAAGCAAGGCAGACAGCTTAAGAACTCTTTCTGTGCTGGTGCAAAAGGAGCTTTTAAACTCCTTGCCTTATGTGTAAGTTGCGGGATTTCAGCTGGCCATCTTAAAACCATGTAGGCTTGAAATCACACAAGTTAATCGCGTGCAAGATGTGATTATTCCTTGATGTAAAATATTTAATCCTCCCTGTGCAAGTTCCTTGGAGGTTTCTGTACAGGGTTGCTATATGGGAGACAAAAGGAGGAAAGAATAGTGAAATTGAATATATTTATTAAATGTATGTTAACATTTGCATGATTCCATTCTTTCAAATTAGGCAGCAATCCTAGTATACACACTAAGGAGTTCTAGATATAGGTAGGTAGCCGTGTTGGTCTGCTGTAGTCAAAGCAAAATTAAAAAAAATAAATCCTTCCAGTAGCACCTTAAAGACAACTAAGTTTGTTATTGGTATGAGCTTTCATGCACATGCACACTTCTACAGATTCGCTGAAAGAGAAGTCACCAGACCTTTATATAATAGTAAGAGAGTGGGAAGGGGTATTACTCAGAAGGGTGATGGGAATGGGTGATTGGCTGAAAGGTGTGGTAAACCAGTTGACAACGACTGCAATTGGTCTTAAAGGAAAAAGGAAGGGGTGAGATGGCCAAAAATAGCTTTATCATGTATAGTGAGATAAGAATCCAATGTCTATTCAGATCAGGTCTCTCCATGGTTTTGAGTCTGGTAATAAGTTGTAATTCAGCAACTTCTCTTTCCAGTCTATTTCTGAAATTCTTTTGTAATATTACAGCTACTTTGAGATCTTGTATAGAATGTCCTGGGAGATTGAAGTGTTCTCCTACTGGCTTCTCTGTCTTGTGATTCCTGATGTCAGAAACGAAGGAGTGAGATTCATTAAACTCAGTGAGAGTTGCTTCTGAGTAGATACGTACAGGATTGCCAGGGTGAGAGCACTTCAAAGCTCCATAGGAACGATGTTGGTTCACCTATCCAATTCAGTGATCTTTTAACATGTTTGATTTTTTTCTTAATTCAGGGCAAGTCTGGAAGTTTTAGCCAAAACATAGAATTCTTGAACCTGCTCCCAAAGAGGGGTCCCAAAGCCTTCTCAGCTTTCTGTGAAGCTTTACAAGAAACCAAACAGCAGCACTTAGTGGAAATGCTCCTGAGCACCATTCCCAGCCATAGCAACGGGAATGCAAGGGTAAGGAAGGATCAAATAAAAATGGGGTGGGGGGACCCCATATTAGTTTAGTGATCTTCTGTTGTCCTCTCCATGCTCCTGAATACCCTCACTTCTATTTTTGTTGTTATGCTGGAGTGGCACATGATTCCTGTGGTGTTTTATATGATAATTATTTTTTGGGGATGTGTGTCGGGAGGGGGAGTAAATACATTTACACACCTGGCTTGAAATGAATATTCCCCAAAAGAGGACCAGGAATCCTAACTTCAATAGATATACACTTACATGTGTCTTATCTTTTCTGTGCTTTGTGTAAAGACTACCTAGGATGATTGGTGTGTGTATAGATACCCAGTAGACAGAAGGTGGTTCTTTTCCTTTACATCTCTGTATTTCTGTTTAATAATGCTGTGTGGACTCTTTCAGCTGAATTCTGGCTATGAGGAAAAGCTGCCATTTCCTATATCTGAATCAGAAATCTCTCAAAAAAGGCCACGGTGGCAACTTGGTAAGTTTATTTTTGTGAAATGTGACTATTGCAATTGTAATGGCTAAAAACTTCCTTTTGTTGTTTACTAGCATTCTATTTAATCTGACACACAAAGAACAAAAGAAAGAAGGTTTCTGTTGTGTGGGTAGGAAAATGCATGTGGATTTTCCAGTATTGCCTTTGGTTAAGAAAAGATCAAGCATTTTTGTTAGGTAAGAGCAAGCCTGAAAACATTTAGCCCCAAGGAGCTATTTTTTAAATATATTAATAACAAAAGTCAGAGATCAGTGTGCAAGGCTTTTGTAATCCAAAATAGATTTCCACCACCTTTGCTTTTGTTATGGCAGCCACATGGTGGTGGTGCTGCTTTATTTGTTTGGAATATTTATATATTCCTCCCTCATAAAGGCTATTTTTAGTAGTTGGATACTATAGGATACTTTGAAAATTGCCAGAATGTGTCCACTGATGAAATGCTATTTTTGCTTGAAATATCTATTTGAGCCAAGAATAATGTGTAGAAAAGATAGTATATATGAAATCACATAAAGATAGGCAACTTGTGGCCTATTTTTTCAGACTCAGCCTATGAAACAATATTATCTGACCAAATGCAGCCTTCAAAATTGTAATGAAAGGTTGCCTGCAATTCCATTTATAAGGAGAAATTCCCACTTTAATATTACACTTGTTTCTTTGTTTTGGATGTTATGCTCCAAACTGTAGTTGCTTTCTTTTGTGGTGTAGTTGCTTTTGGGACCTGGGGGCACATTCAGAAATGTAATAAACTGTTGTGAGCACCACAAAATGCCCAATTGGTGTTGCTCAGAAATGAGCCAAACACACATAAAAAAGACAAATAAACAGACAAAAAAGTTGGCTCTTCACCTACCACCCCAACAACAAAGCTAAAAAAGCACAATTTTTTAAATTAAAAATTGTCCAAAACTGGGAGAGGCAAGAGGCTTTGGGGTGCAATGGGGGGCTTTGGGGTGCCATGAGCGCACCATTTTGGGGACGCAGGTTGCTTGGAAAATAAATGCTGCAAAGGGCTCTTGTATTTTCCTCTTGTTTTACTTGTATCTCATGCATATCGTTCATGGCCAGACTTCTTTGAGGGAAATTGTTTTCTCCCTATATATTTTGAAGGGACAGAGATATATTTTAAATAAATTAGATATAAATAAAATTAAAGAGAAGAATGTGCCTGAGATTCACATCTCCATAACAGAAATACTTAAAACTAGGTGACGTGTGTTTTTAATAAAACGTGGCTGGGATGTGTGGCAAATTGTATTTCAGTCCCCAGACTATTGTTTTCAGAACGGTGGCTCTTAAGAATACAATATATTGACTATAACGTTCTTATATTTTCCATGCAAAAAGCTGACCTACTTTTTACATCCAAATTTTATGGCCAGGTCTCTTGGTTTCGGTTGCATCCTGCTGATCTTCTAAATTGCAAACTGTTTTATTATTAACTAGCAACCAAATAAATTATTCAGTATATGCGTTTTTTATCCATGACTATTAACAATAGCTGTAACACAGAAATAATCACAAAACTATAATTGGTTGCCATTAGTCATTCTATTTGGCAGGTTGCACAGGGCAAGGTGCCTAGACTTGAGCAAGTCATAGGAGTTTAACTTATGTATTAACCAGCTATGGCGAACCAGTGGCCCTCCAGATGTTATTAGGGTCCAACTCCCATCAACCCCAGCCAACATGGGTTATGGTCACAGAGGATGGGTGCTGTAATCCAAGAACATTTGGTGGGTTTTTCTAAAATGTGGCTCTGTCTGTGTTTCACTGGTAGCCTCAACCCTTTCTCTCCTTGATATAGTCCCAACAAAGGCCTATTTGAAGTTGCTACTTCCACTTCAAAGAAATGCTCCATTGGTGTCAATGGGGGCTTCCCTTGAAATGTAGAAAGCAACATCAGAGAGGCTATTTTTGTTAGCACCATAGTAGGGAGAGAATTAGAGAATTGCAGAGATGGAAGGGAACACCAGGACCACCTAGTCTAACCCCTTCAGTATTGGAATATTTTGCCCAACATGGGGCTTGAACCCACAACCCTGAGATTAAAGGGCCGCATGCTCTACCAACTGAACTATCCCTCAGAGCTAGAAAGTAAATTTGCCTACTCCATCTCCACAGCCATGAGGCTTCTGCAGCTCCCCTGCAAATGCTGCCTTCATAACAAAAAATGCACACTAATTACATTCATACACTTTATATCAAGTCTGATTTAACCCTGAGATTCTCCCCACTTAATTAATTAATATACACATATGTTCTAAATATCACAAAAAGTGGTGTTTTAAAAAGCTACATAAACATGCATTTGATTTGCAATCATTTTGATCTCTTTACTGTAACTGGGAAGTCCATTCTGGACTTACTCCTCCGGTGCTTAAAAAATTGGCGGGTTATCTTATTAATCTGGTATCCCTAAATAGTTGTAAATGCCAAGTTTACACCTGCACAGAAGTTATTTTGTTGCTCAGCCACTTAACATTTTGGTTGTTGGCCTGTGTCTCAGCAGAACCAGTGGAGCATTCTTTGGATGATGGAGATGGTCCTCACTATCCTCAGGTGAAGCTATGCACCCCAGAATTCTATCATGAGCATGAGCCCATGGTGAGTATCCTGAAGGGTGGAAGTTTAGGGTCCCGTCCCCCCAACAAGCATTGGGTGCTTTTATTGGTAATCTGCAGAAAGCCAGCTTCAAAATGTGAAATAAATGCCTGTTCAGGGGATGACATGTTTTTTACTTTCGCATGCAGTTCTAAGAACATGAGCCATCCCAAACTGAAAAATAGAGGCAGGTGGTTTAATAAGTTTTATTTTGATGTGTGCTTCTCTTTTAGATACCTGTATTTTCTTCCCAAAGGCACTTACATATTTTCGTAGGAGCTTATGCCATTTCTGAGTCCAGTTCTTAAAGTGTGATAGCATGACTTCCATTGCAGTCATTTGATTTAAGTATCCTTCCCTTACAGTCTCTGCCAGGCATTCTCTTCTCACTGGTGCTTCTACCAGACTGGGACATTTTTTTCTAATTCTTTAGGCAAAAGAATAAAGTTCTTTTAAAATCATCATTAAATTTCTAAATGGAAATCCTGTACACTGATAGAAACAAATATGAACTTGTTTGAGCGTTAGCATGAAACCTTACATTGCTGGGATTTTTCTGGCCATTAGCCTATAAATCCTTTTAAACTACAGTGTTTTTTCTGCTATAAATGTAAGGTGTCCTCTCCCTTTGTGTTTATTTATGTAGGTATGCAACAGGATTCTGACTGTCATGAATAAGTATCTTGTGATTTTGCTGTTTTACATAATATACCAGGAATCTGGATCCATCAGGTTACCTGTTTTTCACAGGCATACAGGATGAAATCACACCCACGGGGCTTGGCGCTGATACTTAGCAACGTGCATTTTAGCAGTGAGACGGACCTAGAGTTCCGTTCTGGTGGCAATGTTGACCAAGCTGCCCTAGAAATGCTCTTCAGACATCTTGGGTACCAAGTGATGGTACGGCATGATCAAACTGCACAGGTGAGCCCTGAGAATGGAACAAGCATGATGAATGTCCCCATCCTGGAAGTCATTTTTTATAATTGGCTCCTCACAATAAATTGGGTAACTGACATCATTTCTAATGTGAATCTGGGTATACTGGAGCAAGCATTTTATGTATACTAAGGACTGTATTTCCATGCAGAATTTTTATCTCTACTACTATCTAGATAGTATAATTTACTGTATTTTTATTAAGTACTTTATTTAGTTTGTTCAGTCTCACAATTTTATTAGCAAATTCATTTATTTTAACGCGTTTCCCTTACATTACTCTCACAAACGTTCAATAAAAATCTACAGAAAATTGCTTAGTGCAGTAACTTTGTTATAGTGATTAAATAACTTTGGTCCCCCAGAATTGTAGAGGCTGGGCACAGCAACCAGAAGTTTCTCTCAGCCTCTGCCTAGACAGCCAGTGCCACTTGGGCTGTTTCTGCCATCAGGAGTCTTCTGCTTCCTACTCTGGAGTCAGTGCATGTGGTTAGTAGAGGCCCCAGGAAGACTGGCTGGCCGGTTACAGAATTTTAGAAATTACTATCTCCGAATACTTGGATTAAACAGAATATAAAATCTTAAAATTCTCTGGAAATTGGGCCCATGTTCAACCGTTTTTGATAATTAATTAGCCCTCTTTGGCTCCCCATTAAGCTTGTTACTGGTACATGGCTTTGCTCTGTTAATTGTGCCTTTCCCACTTCTCTGGTATTTGCAGTTTCAGGGATTGCTGATTTTAGTTATCTCTTTTCTCAGGAAATGCATAAGGAGTTGGAAAACTTTTCAAAGCTTCCAGACCACCGACATGTAGATTCCTGCATAGTATCACTTCTCTCACATGGCATAGAGGGTGGGGTCTATGGAGTGGATGGCAAACTGCTTCAGGTAATTTACCTTTGTGGATTCCTCCTTTGAGTAGGGCGTGGTCATTTAAGGATGATGAAATTGGCAACCAGCTACTGGCAAATAAAGTTATAATAGATTCTGGCCTGAAGCAGAAATGAAGGTATTTCTAGAAGTTGGAAAGCAATTAATGGAAACATATAGGAGCAGAATGTATATTTGAATGATATTTAGAATATTGTGATTGCTTGCCTATTTCATTGCCATCCTTCAATATAAATATTCTCATGATGATTTACAGAATAACATATATAACAATTAAAAAGCATGATTCAGATAAAACCGGTTTAGCAGTTTTTTTCTAACAAATGTTTACTGTGGTTTTTTCCCCCAGCTGCAGGAGATTTTCAGGCTCTTTGATAACGCAAACTGCCCTAGGCTTCAGAATAAGCCCAAAATGTTCTTCATTCAAGCATGCCGGGGAGGTACGTAACCCAAGGAGAAGGGTATGGGGGTGGGGTTACCTGTGCTTCACAAACATTCTCCATTCTACACAGCTTGCGCTCAACTCTCCTCTTTGCTTCTCTCAGGTATAAGCGGAACCCACATTCACCTCCCTGCCTTGCTGTTGCCACTACCTCTCTCTGTAAGTGCTTCTCACTCTGCATGGCATGTGGTCAGCAGATTGCAGACCCTGCAGCACCGTGACAAAGGGGAGCTTTGTAATAATTCCCATATCTTGCATGTGTGGTGTGGGGCGGTTAGCCACACTAATCATAACCCAGCATGGAGATTTTACCTGCATCCTGGAACTTGATCACAGTTGCTCTTTGGTCTGGACTATAGATTTCCGTATCTTTTCTGGATCTGGGGGAAATGAAAAAAGCAGCAGTCCGAGGGCCAGTCACCCACCTTCCATAACATAAAACAAGCACTAGGAATTTCTTTGAAGAGAGATTCTATTGAAAAACTCTTTTATGAAGTTCCTTAAAACCAGATGGGGAACAGGGTCTTCAGCTGCATTTAGAGCATGTACAAGAAAATTTAGACATTCAAAGCTTAATGTCACCGTCTTCAGTGACATGATCCTTCATGGAAGAAACTCTTAAGTCCATTGAAAGGAATTTTGGAAGAAAAGTACCAAGAAACACCAGAGGGGCATAAGCTTCTTGGCATAAACTTTCTAGCACATCTTCCAATTATACTGTGTTTTAAGAGACCGTAATTTGTATAGGAGATGATGGGAGATTCACAAAACAGGTCACTTTCCTTAGCCATTTGAGGCCATGCTGGAACATAAGCCTACAAGAAATGTAGCATTACTTCCCAGTAACCTTACTAATTCAAGCACAGAACCTTAATGAATCCGCCCCTTCAGCGAAGGAAAGGCTCCCAGAGTGGCTTCGAGTTCTTAAATGTAATAAAACTAACATGTACACGCACCACCTCTTTTCTACCTTGCTCCAAGCTTGTGCTTTTCTTTCTTAATTGCCTCCCTCACATTTTATTTCCCTCACCGCCTGCCCCACCAGCAAATGTCACTACAAGTGCCTCTGGGGCTAATGTTCTCCCAGTTGTTTTTCTGGTCTGAGAGAGAAGGAAGGGGGGTCAGTTTGCTCTTGATGCTCCTTTTAAAACACCACTCTGCTCGACTTTGACCTCAAATTAATGCAAGAAGCGATCCCAAAATGGTGTATTCAATGGGACTGAGACATCCAGAAGTGGGATTTAGGCCTTCCAAGCTAACAATCACATTTCCAACTATGGATTATCCATCTTCAAGAAATTCTTAACATAGAAACCTAAGTTCTTCCAAAATTCAGTTCTTATGCCTCTGCTTGGTGGCTTCAGCAAGCATTTCAAAACTGAATAAGCCTGTCTGGATGGGCTAAACCAAATGAAGCTTTTGCAACATATTTGTGCTTGATGCAGGCCTAGTTTTTTTTTTTTTTTTAAATCTATAGACACTATAAAACCATTATGACCTGGAGATCCTTTGCACAGTATGCTTGGAGTGCATATATAGACTATATAGTCCAACTCCAACTTCTGAATAGAAAATGGTTTGAAGAAGTGAACAGTTCAGCTGATAAGAGAAGTAATGAAAAACAGAAGCCATTCCTTTTCATCAACAGTTGAAAGTTATAGTCCTCCTTCATGCTTTTATATTTTCCTTTTCAGTCTTACCTTGATAGTGAAAAAACAACACACAGGTTTTATTCTAAGAAACAAATGGAAAATTTATAGTATCCCGGGCTCATGAAGCTACCTTGAAGGTTCTGTCTGACAGCCTCATACCTACCAAATTAAATTTCTTCTAAGCAGAAACACTGTGGTCACTTATAGAAGATTCAAGGTGCAGTTTTGCTAAATTTTGCTTAAACCTGAGTAGAGATCACTTTGATACAGGAGATTCAGGGCTATTCAGATGAGCTTTAAAGCAGCAAAATTGAAAGAAATTAGTGTCTCGAAAATAAAGCAGAATTTCTGTTCTTGAAACAAGTTTTGGGCAGCAGTTTACTGTTTGGCAGTTTAATCCAATTTTGCACGTTCACTGCTGGTGGAATAAATTGTGAAAATACTTTGCAAGCATTATTTGATCAAACTTCATTTTACTGGACACCGTTAGAAACTAGCTTGAGGGTGTCACTTGAAATAGTTTGTCCTGAGTCAGATCTTCCCTTCTCGCCATGCTTTTGATAATGATGATGATTTGAAATTTTTTAATATCAAAAGTCACAGTGGCTAATGCCTGTATATGTATAGATCTTACTAGACATGTTGGTGATGCTGCTCGAGAGCAAAAATATCTGTTCTCAGTCTTTCTTAAAATGGTTTTGTGTGTCCGATTTATTAGTTGGTGGATGCTTGATGTTTTCAAAAGTTGTAATGCAATCCAAGAAGATTGTGCTGTTTGAAACCAGGCAGTTTTCATTCAAGTCTATCTAAAAAATGATCAAGGGCTCTGTCCTACATTTTTCTCATTCCTTTTATCCCCTCTAACCTATGTATACACATCTTTTGTTTAAGTTTAAGATGTATGGTGATTACAGAGGGAAAGCAGCTGGAACAACTTTTCCAAGATGTATAAATACTTTCTCTTCAGATTTTATTCCCAGATTTGCTTCGCCTCGGGTTTATACCCTTACTTAAATATGCTTAATATTACTTAATAACCTTAGTGTTTCTTTTCTTTTTTCTTGCTCTTCCTGTACATGTTGCTTTTTCCTATTTGCTCTGGCAAGATGTAGAAAGAACAAAGAGTCTGTAGCACTTTAAAGACTTAATAAATTAATTGTGATGTAAACTTCCTTAGGCTGGAGTCCACTGCATCAGGTGCATGAAGTATTCTCAGTTGGTTAGTCTATGCCAATGGGGGTATAATCAATGGGATTTTCCTCTTCTATGGCAGGTGATTCTCCAGGGGCTGATGGGGAAGGGGAAAGCTAAGGTGAAAACAGTTGGGATTCTTAAATCAGTGCCTGCTTACACACGACTACTTTGGACATGAGTTCCCATGTGTACCAGGGGAGTGGTACCAGCGCTTTTTGATCATTTAATTACTGCAAGGTAGATAAGTGGCTAATAAGACTATTGTAGGCAAATTTGGTTATTGTTGCCAAAAGTAAGGAAGTCAGGGAATGTAGATGATGCTCAATAGTAAACCCTACTAATTGAACATACAATCAGAAATGTACCTTTAGAAAAGATGCTTGACGGAGGTGAGTGAAATTCCTGCCTTCTTGTTTTCTCTTTATTAGATGAGACAGACCGTGGAGTGGACCAAATAGATGGAAATGAGCGCGCTGACTCCCCAGGTTGCGAAGAAAGCGATGCCAACAAGAAAGAGAATCCCAAGCTGCGTCTTCCCACTTGCTCTGATATGATATGTGGCTATGCCTGTCTGAGAGGTATCTGGAATAGTACCATAAAAGTCTTTCGTTACGTTATTTTAATGAACTGCTCAAAGGTGGTTTTACACCTTTGAACTGAGCTGCTGTTGGTGGATCATCATGCACTTGTCCCTCTTTTTCTACTTTGCATTGACTTTACTTACTTACTTACTTACTTACAGGCACAGCTGCTATGAGAAACACCAAACGTGGGTCCTGGTATGTAGAGGCTCTGACTTCTGTGTTTGCTGAAGATTCCAGAAATACGCATGTGGCTGACATGCTTGTAAAGGTGAGCTGGGATGCTGTGCTTCACTCTTGCTTCTCAACTAACTTCTAGAAGGTGCTGCACTCTTGAGATTCTTGTTTAACTTTTGTTGGACCTCCTGTAGCATTACTGTTCCCTTTTGGGGCCTCTGGGAAGCAAAGTGCAACTTCTGCAAACAGACATTTGATATAATTTAGGGGTGTGCTGTCAAGAGAACAAGCTGGTCATCACACTTTTCCAACAACACAAGAGACGACTCTACACATGGACATCACCAGATGGGCAGCATTGAAATCAGATTGATTATATTCTCTGCAGCCAAAGATGGAGAAGCTCTATACAGTCAGCAAAAACAAGACCTGGAGCCGACTGTGGCTCAGATCATCAGCTTCTTATAGCAAAATTCAAGCTTACCGTATTTTTCGCCCCATAGGGCGCACCTAGTTTTTTTTTGGGGGGGGGGAATAAAGAAAAAAAATTATTTCCCCCCCAGGTGCGGGGCTGGGGCGGGGGAAGCCCGAGGTTCCCCAGCCCCCAGAACAGGCTGCTCTCCGCAAGCTGTGGGAGCCCTCCCGTGGCTTGCGCAGAGCTACCCGAAGCCCGGGCGCGACTGCTCAGCGTGCCCGGGCTTCGGGATGCAGGCAGCTCTGCACAAGCCGTGGAAGCCCGGCCGCAACTCCTGCGGGCTCCCAAGGCTTGCGGATAGCTTCCTGAAGCCTGGAGAGTGCGCACCGACCCCTCTCGCTCTCCAGGCTTCAGCGAAAGCCTGCATTCGCCCCATAGGACGCACACACATTTCCCCTTCATTTTTGGAGGGGGAAAAAGTGCGTCCTATAGCGCGAAAAATACGGTAAATTGAAGAAAGTAGGAAAAACCACTGGGCCAGTAAAACAAATCCCTTATGAATACTCAGTGGAAGTGAGGAACAGGTTTAAGGATTTAGATTTGGTGGACAGAGTGCCTGAAGAACTAAGGATGGAGGCTCGTAACATTATACAGGAGGCAGCAACGAAAACCATCCCAATGAAAAGGAAATGCAAGAACGCAAAGTGGCTGTCCAATGAGGTCTTACAAATAGCAGGGGAGAGGAGGCAAGCAAAATGCAAGGGAGATAGTGAAAGATACAGGAAATTGAACGCAGATTTCCAAAAAATAGCAAGGAGAGACAAGAGGGCCTTCTTAAACGAGCAGTGCAAAGAAATAGAGGAAAACAACAGAATGGGAAAAACCAGAGATCTGTTCAAGAAAATTGGAGGTATGAAAGGAACATTCCGTACAAAGATTACCATAATAAAGGACAAAGGTGGAAAGGACCTAACAGAAGCAGAAGACATCAAGAAGAGGTGGCAAGAATACACAGAAGAATTATACCAGAAAGATATGGAGGTCTCGTACACCCTAGGTAGTGTGGTTGCTGACCGTGAGCCAGACATCCTGGAGAGTGAAGTCAAATGGGCCTTCGAAAGCACTGCTAATAACAAGGCCAGTGGAAGTGATGATATTCCAGCTGAACTATTTAAAATTTTAAAAGATGATGCTGTTAAGGTGCTACACTCAAAATGGCAGCAAGTTTGGAAAACTCGGCAGTGGCCAGAGGATTGGAGATGATCAGTCTACAGCCCAATCCCAAAGAAGGGCAGTGCCAAAGAATGCTCCAACTACCACACAACTGCGCTCATTTCACACGCTAGCAAGGTTATGCTTAAAATTCTACAAGGCAGGCTTAAGCAGTATGTGGACCGAGAATTCCCAGAAGTGCAAGCTGGATTTTGATAGGGCAGTAGACCGGAAGTCTCGAGTAAACAAATATCCTGTCTGGTTTGAATTTCAGTAGAGCATCTGAACCAAGATAAAAATAAATAAATAAATATTCAAAAATGAATACTGTTTTAAATTTCTAAGCCTTTCTTTTGCCTTTTGTTACCTTTTCATTTAGGTGAATGGAATGATCAAGCACCGAGAAGGTCATGCCCCAGGCACCGAGTTCCACCGCTGCAAGGAGATGTCAGAGTATTGTAGCACTCTTTGCCAGGACCTTTACTTGTTCCCAGGAATTAACTCTGTCATCTAAGGGGGCCACTGCCTCTAAGGCCAAAGTCCATGTAATACTCTGTGCCATAGGATGACCTCCTGTAGAGGTCTAGGGCTACTCTTCCCTTACAGCATTTCATATTGAAGGTAGGGGGCGCTAAGCTGTCCTGTTTAGGAAGCGGTTGACTGATGAACATATGATACTTGTTCTGTTGTTTCTAACAGTTTTTCTGATTTTATTGGGAATTTCATATGTTATCAGATATTGTGACCTATGGAAATTAGCATATAAATGTCTTTAAGTTGATTATGCCTGGCTAAGCCAGCTTTCTTACTCATTGTGCAGCCTTTTTACTCATTGTGCAAATTTCTCTAATATCACTTTTTCAGACAGACTTTGGCACCTTGTTGATGCTTGCCACCCAGTTCAGGGTTTGTAAGTATAGTGTGTTTATGTGCCAACATTGAGGTTGATGGGGAGCACCAAACAGGAGTGTGAGAAATAGCATTCATAAAGCTTTTATAAAACAAAAACAAAAAGCATGCTTTATAAATTGAATTTTGTTTTAAGACAAATTTGTGGGCAGCTAAGCAAATTTGGCAAAACCACTAGCTAAACTGAAAAGGAACCCTCTAAATAAATGAAGGACATGCAGACTCATAAAGGCAGTTTGGAATAGTTAGGTTATTGCTAAAGTCATTTTATATCTTTCATCACCTCCTCCCCCCCCCAAAAAAAATAATGAATACACGTGCAGTTTCTATTTTGCTAAAAAGACAACCCTCCCCAAATCTGTTCTGCTTATTTTCTCAAAGAAATTGATAATTATTAGCACAAACTCACACCAGGACTTGGAAACAATTGAAACAGGTTTCCATTCCACAAGGTGTTTCTAATTATATAACAAGTTTGTCTTTTTTACTTCTATTGTTGCTATTTCCATTCTCAATGGTAGCATACCCTGTGATGACTATTGTAGACTTGTCATTTTATTAGGAGATGTTTGCCTACACTGTATTTGCCTATATTTTCTGCCCACCCATCCCATGATTCCCTATTCATTGTGGGTGAAATTGATCCTCATGAGCAGAGGCATGGCTATAAGCCCCCCCCCAGCTGCTCAGGTGCCACACATGGCTTTTTAAGGGCAAATCTACACATTGGCAGAGTTAGGGAAATCATCTCTGCATGCCCATTTGCACATCTGCTTTGCTCCTCCTGTTGTGTGAGCAAACAATTCAGGAAGTCTTCAGTTAATTATGCATTCTTTTCTCCAGTACTGTAACGGCCCCCTTTTGTGGGACCTGCCATTTTAAGAAACTCACTTGCAAAATGAGGACAGTCCTCAAGAGCCAGTCTTATTTATATGTGCAAATGTATACTCCCAGTGGTGCAACAGTCCTGGCACCCAGTAGTCGCAGGTGGTTAAAAGCCTGGACTTCTAACTGGTGCGTATGTTTGCTGCAGAGGACAGGAAATGTGCTCTATTCCCTCTCCCCCACCACTTTTTTTTAAAAGTTGCATGCCACACCTAAGTTTTGCAGTTACATTCTTGTATATTGTTGCCTTTCGGCATCCTAATAACCCTGCAGCCAAGGACTGTATGCTTAAACCAGCTGCCCTTGATCAGCCTTTATCATTCTCTTTTGCCTAAGATTTTGAAAAAATATTTTTATAGGATTTTGATATATATTTTTAAAAACAAACATAATGGTTAGGAAAATAACATGAGGCAGAATAATCTAACAAGAGGCCAGAGGCTTAGAAGGTCCTCTTGTCCTGCCCTAGTGCAGTTGAACTGCATACCACACCTGTTGAGCAGTAGCCATTTCAGGGCCAGTGAACAGCTCAGGGTGACAACTCAAAGGTTCTTTCCTCTGAGTAAAAATAGAAAAAAAACATGGGAGTCCTCTCTGGAAATTGGTGCTTGATAACTGTACTGTGTTAGTACAGATGTCTCCTCCTAGTTTGAGAAAGGAGAGGGCAGGTCTTTGTCACTGCCACTTTTTATAAACTTTGTATATAAACTATATCTCCATGTGCCAAAATAAAAAGTGATCTTGTTTTCTAACTGGCGTACTTTTTTTTTTAAAATCCACTAAGGAGGCATGGTCTCTTTCTCTATATCTGCAGTGCAACTAGGTTACAGAACAGGCCTTTTACCAAAGAGCACTGGCCCAAAACATGATTGATTCTAACCCTGGAGTCATGAATGTGGGTAAAGTTTTCAGTTCTGTGTAGTTGTGAGTATGAGCCCTTTGTCTGGAGCATGGGTAGGCAAACTAAGGCCCGGGGGCTGGATCCGACCCAATCACCTTCTCAATCCAGCCCATGGATGGTCCAGGAATCTGCGTGTTTTTACATGAGTAGAATGTGTCCTTTTATTTAAAATGCATCTCTGGGTTATTTGTGGGGCATAGGAATTCGTTCTCCCCCCCCCCATATAGTCCATCCCCCACAAGGTCTGAGGGACAGTGGACCGGCCCCCTGCTGAAAAAGTTTGCTGACCCCTGAGCATTCAAAACAGGGATCCTCCTTAGTGACACCTGTGTAATCTTACGTTGCACTTGGTTGATTTTACAGGAGAGGAGTGTGGTTTATGATAGCTGTATAGATAGGGTTCTGACCTCATGTGACCACACTTAATCTTTATTAAAACCACCATGCTTGCGTGAATTTACCCCCAATAATTATAGTACTTGTTCACATGGTTGCATTGGATATGATGTCCTTTCCTCCATATCGTTATCTGGCCCACAGCATACTTTGAATTTGGAGGTTGCTTATTAAGAACATCTAATGTCTTAATTTGTAAATACCCAAATTAAAGGATTTAAAAACCAAAGGAAAAGCCATTTAGGTTTTTCAGAAGAAAACAGCCAAAGAAAAAGGAAAACTGTAGCCTTAGGGAAAGTGGAAAGGAAACACTTTCACAAATATATTAAGCGGACACTGGGATTCTTATGAAAACGTCAATTGCATTAATAAGTAAAAATGAAAAAGGTCACTAAAATTGCCGGGCTAATGAGCTATTATTTTGCATGCTTTTGCTCATAATTATAGTTGGCTTGACTGAGTTGAAGGATTCACTTTAGTAACTGAAGACGAGTTATGCAGAAACCATTTTTAGTATGTATGTAGTGTTGTGTGTGCATATTTTATTCAAGGTACTACACCATTAAATAAAGCTTTAGGAATATGATTGTCCTGGGCTACCTCTTAAGAGAAGAACTGTTGCCATCAAAGGAAAAGTGGTATGGTAATATCCATGTTTTGCAGTCTGTACTTTTCTGCTAAATCGGTATTTCAGAATCCTTCTAAATCAATGCAAGTGGGTGGTGGGGGTGGGCTTGATAGTTCCACCACCTTCAGAAGTTCCAGGGTGGCAGTGGCCTGGAAGAGGGCATTCTCCATGGGATTCTCCCTATGCTGTAGAATTCCATTCCCACAGGTGCACTGGGCTTCATTACATAGATTTTGTCATAAGCTGAAGATGCACTGGGTAGGCAGCTGGACTGGTTCAGATAATTAGATGTGCATGACAGAAATCTGAAACAGCCCCTAGAAAAAGGTAGCCTTAAGTAAAACAGAAAAGGAATTGTTTAGAATGGGCATTGTGGAATAGAACAAGAACTAGTGGGACAAAATTATGGAAGCACCCACATCTCAGCCCTAAGCATGTTTACAGTTACATCCTGCTGACTTCATTGGTGCTTATTTGCAGTAAGGACTGTGGCTGTTGCCTGCTTATGAGAACAATCTCTGAAGCCTGTGGGATTTGAACTTAGCTTCCCAGGGGATGCTGTTGAGAGTCTGTCAACAAGGGCATTCGAAATATACAAAGCTTTGGATTATGGGCTGTAATGGTAATAGCTGGGCATTGGCACCTTTGCCACTAGGATATCTTTCTCAGTCTAATAATTTTGGTCATTCTTCTTTTTTCCAATGCTTTTTCCATGAGTCGAACAAATGTCGACCTCCGGTCCACCTCCACCAAAACCCTACCGATCACCCTTCCAGTTCTGAAATCATTGGCCTTGGACAGAAACAACCCCACTGGAGCCAGGATAAAGAAATCTTATCACCTTTTAATTTACTGGGCTGACTCAGTGCCAGAGCAGCAGTTAGAGGCATTAGAGCAGAGACACGACTGCTGTGTCAGAGCATGAGCAGAACCAGGGCATCTGGTTACACATCCCCCCCACAGTGAGCCTTTAGCTGGAGCCCTCACAACTTCAGTTTTGTCCCATTCCATGATCCTGCAACCGGGAAGCAGAAGGGAAGGCACCTCCCCCGGGATGCCCAGTTTCCCCATTTGCAAACACTGGATATGACTGGGGACAACCGTCCAAAAAGGACATTACAGTATCAGCAGACACTGGTGAGTACACTGGTGTTGCATACTTCTCATTTACCTTGGGCACCAGCCAGGGAGCCTTCAATTGTTGTCTCGTACCCTGTAATCTGCCACTTGAGAACCACTGTTTGGGATGCCTTTAGTTGTCCAAGCATCACGGAAAACCAGTGTAAAACGTGAAAAGTCATTCCTACACTTCCTGGGTGGAGTGAAAATCCTTTGATAGTTTGAGAGGGAAAAACAAAACAAAAGAAAAACAGAGTTTCTCCCTCCCCAAACAGATGTCCAAGCAGTTAAGTTCACTTAAGAGATAATTTGCAGTTTGGTTTTTGCCTGTGCTGGATTGGGAGGTAAGGTTGTTTGAGGTTCGAAGTTAGAAATACTGCCATTTAGCTTGCAGCTGAGGTGAAGAGTTGCCCCAGGATAAGGAAAAGGCAATAAAACCAATGCTTGAGTGCTTCAATCTTTGTAACGCCCGCTGCAGTAAAATTACTCTTCTGTCTTCCATCTATTGTGCTGGCAGCTATAATGTTTGGGTGGTTTGAGGTTACATTAGTATTCTGTTCTGTGTTGCTAAGCAGGAAAGTGTTCAGCTCTTAGATTCTGGATTCTGTTTTTATTTGTATAGTTTTGGAAGATTCCTTTCTCCAGGGAATGCATGGGGAATTACTGATGAATATTA